GGAACTTTGAGGGTATTCAATTGGCGATGATACTAAAGGCATTTTGGAATTCGGCGGGGAGGAGGGTATAAAGAAGGGATGTTGCTGCTTCGAGGAAGTTATGCGGACGGGTGATTCTTTAAAGGAATAAGCATTATAATTCCCAAAGTCTTCCAAGGAAAATCAATAGTCTCTAACCCTGAATATGATCCGCCTCACTTTGAAAAGCCTCTGCGGTTTTCCAAGCCCTATGTTGAATGACTTCCCTTTCCCTATTCTTTCTCAGTCGAGTTTCCTCTTCAAGTAAATGTAAAGCTTCGAATTCGTCCGATTGAGTGTTTGACGGTAGATTTAGAGGGACGAATGAATCCTCCCAATCTTCGAGCAATGCTGGATCAGAAGTTGGAGGTAAATCTGGCGTTGAAGTATATTCCATTGAATTATTCAAGCAATGTTCCATAACCATATAAATTTAATTCACCAATTCCACAGCTGATTGTGTACGTAGTTCCTTATCGAAAAGCGCGAAAAGCGCGCATAACGCGTTGATGGATACGCGACACGAAAGAATACTTACGGGGAAGGTACTCACGTGGTACTTTAGCACTGTGTTGAGGACCCCTGATGCTACATAATCACATTAATAAGAGAAATGGAATGGTTCATGCAATCAACAGGATCCTTGCAATCGGAGGTCGGTGGTCGGTGGTCGGTGGTCGGAGATAAACAAGAAGCCATCTTATCGTTATCTAACGGAGTGATAACTTACAAGTACCTAGGTAGTAGGTACGACAGTGAACATTAACATTCTTCTCCTTCTCGTATATAGCGGTATCTCTACGCTTGATATATGATGTAGACCAAGAAGCCTTTCTCTTGCGCAGTCTTATGATAACTTGGCCATGGTCATGTCAAAGTCTATGTGTACGTACCTAGCATATCGTCCTTCCATTGATACCATCACGTGACTACCCTCCCACTTCTCCCACTAGGTACCAGGGACTAGATAATCTCCAATTCTTTCACCTCCCGATGCCAATATCCCCGCTTTTTGCTCATTCAGGAAGCAAATCACTCGACTCCGTTCCTCCTCACAGTCGTCCAGTCCAGCTTTCCCATTATTCCTCATATGCCCGAACCATCAATCGCATCAATCGCATCAATCGCATTCTCGCCTGCCCTCTTTTTCCTTTCTTATTTTCAATCCACTCCTTGTATATTGATAGATCCGTTGAGCCAAGCTGCCGATACGGAATAACCTTGGAATACAATAATACAATAATACAGACAGGGGAAATTCGGAAACAGTGTGCAGTTCGGTTCCTGAAGATGGATCAAAGAAGTGTACCTATTGGCCCCATTGGCTCTCTGGGACCCAATGGACCGAATGGACCGAATGGACCAATCTCCCCCGCATTCGTATACAATGGCACAATTACATACGCGTCAACAACATCCCCGACAGTGACCGATACCACTTTCACGGCTTCGCCAGTAACAAGTCCAATCCAAAGGGAAGACGGTCTGACTGCAGAACCTCCCAAGAAGAGACAAAAGCGTAATAAGCCTACCTTATCATGTGTCGAATGTGTAGAACGTAAAACAAAGGTTAGTTGTACTCTGCATTGTCTTTTTTTCCGACTCTTGAGTTCCAACGACAGACATGATCATCAAATTCTAAGCAGAGTTGCTCCTATGTGTTCTACTCGCAATATACACGGCGCTAGACACTGCGCTACATACTGCGCGAAGTCTTGTAATTTATCTTGGTCAAAGTTGAACAAATCAATCACGATTCTTCTCTCCAGTCTTTGTTCCTTCCTTTCGATGGGTCATGCAATTACATCGGAGAATATGGGAAAAGGATGACATTCTCCCGGTTGTCCTGCTGTAACCCACCTGGGGATCCACCTCCACACTTATTATCATTTCCACCTTATCGTTTAGGTTTTGGCGCTATGTATTATATGTATCATTCACCAACTTTATTGCGTTAGCTCTAAACTCTCCTATTCGTCTAGTAATTTATGGAAATGCGTATTAATTGTTATCTAGTGCGATAGGGGTCGGCCAAATTGTCTTGCATGTAAGTATAAGTATGTTTCAATCTGGATAAACGATAATAACATAGCCTCTAGGTATTAAGCGACAATCACAATGCGTATATCATCCAACAGCAAACATACTCGAGTTAGTATCACCTTGATCACTTCTGCATAATATCTAACAGTATCTTTAGGGAGACAAATAGGACGACTGCAAATGCTCGACGTATGACCAAACCACCAAAGAAGTTGGGTCCTGGAGCAGGAAACCTTGTCGAGCGACCAAGACAAGCACCAGATCCAAGCGAGAGAAGTGCATCTAGGGGCTCCGTTTCTTCATCTACTGGTCTGCTTTCTAATGTACCGTACTCGCACCCGAAAGCCTCGAATGTTTTTGGCATTGGCTCAGAGCACCCCTTTGCAAATTATTGGACTTGTCAAGGAGGACTTCCGGAAGTGATCTCGGTGTTACCAGCCAAGGACCAAGCAGATATCTTGATGGAACGATATTTCGAATGTGTTGATCCCGTTTATCCTATGCTTCACAGACAAACTTTTTATGCCGATTATGAGCATTTCTGGTCACTAGCCGGACCCGAAAGAGATAGAACAGATGCTGCTTTAGTTGCTATGATATTCTCTATGATAGCTTTGGGGACACAATTTGTCAATAATTCTCCACCAAAGGAACGACAACAAACTGCCGAGTTTTATGTATCAGCTGCTCACCAATCGCTTCGTCTCGGTTCATATCTCAATAAAGCCTCGATGCGCTCAATTCAAGCCATGGTTCTTATCACATATTTCCTCATCAACGACAATCACGCTTCTGATGGATGGGCTTTCGCTGGTATACTAATTCGACAATCTTATGCTATGGGTCTCCATCGCGATCCTAACATTGTCACTCCAAATGCATCTATCTTTGATAAACAACAACGCCGAAAACTTTGGCAAGCAGTCCTGCTCCAAGATACCTTCCTTACCGTTCTACTTTCTCTCCCGCCAAGCGCAACACACACAGACGTCAACGTCGAAGACCTCATCGATGATTCCGGCTCAATCGCTAACTGCGATCCAAACGATACAGCTTATATACGCGGATGTTGGACCCTCGCTAACCTCGTCCAAGAAAGCATCTGCTCTCCCCGCTCGCTAGACCTCCCCATCTGTCCCACCGCCCGCCAAAAACACAAACTCATCTCCGATTTCAAAGCCGTCTATCGTTCTTTCCCAGATGTCTTTCGCTCTTGGAACCGCGATTCCATTTCTGTAGTAGCAGAAACTAACAAGCGTCTGGTACGACAAACACTCTTCTTGACGAGTAATTACTTCCATAACGTGATGTTACTCCATTCAAGCGAAAGCCCCGAAGTCCAACCAGATGTTCGAGGAACTTTAACTGCGGCTCACGAAGCTATCAACGCGTTCTTCCTCCTCTATGAACTCTTCGAGAGCGAAAGTAAAGTTTGGTGGGTTTTTAATCACCGCGCATTTTTGGAATGTATGATGATTGGAAATACATTGCAGGAGGTGGCTAAAGATGAAGATGGAGCGGAGAAACTGGGGAAAGATCCATTGTTTGTTAGGGCTAAGGGGGATATTGGTATGCTTCTTTTCTTTTCTTTCCTTTCTTTTCCCCTCGTGATGACAGAAACTTGTTCTTGGATGAGTATGCATGCTGATAATCAAATAGTCCGCATGATCGATATTATGACCAAAATCGGCGACGGAGATAACGGTTCACAAGTTGCGAGGACGAGAGTCCAGGTTTTGAGTGATTATGTGTGAAGTCGTTCCTTACTCCCTTCATGGGTTTAAACTGGTTGTAGCTTTCTCCTGGATTTCTGAATTGCTAGGAGAGAAGGTTGAGTGAGTGAGTGAGTAGGCAGATAGATATGTTGGAGTTGAAATGTTGGAAGTGAAAGAAGAGAGGATGAAGGGAGGAGATGGAAGATGGAGGATGGAAGGAAGATATGAAAGATGGGAACTGGAAGGTAGGAGAGAGAAAATCAACGGAGAAGATAACGTATGAAAAACATGCGAGTGCGAATTGTCAATAGGAATACGGATATGGAGTCAGGAGGCTCATGTAGATAGATATACAGTTTAAGTAGCGTAGGGATAGGTAGAGTAGGTAGGATAGGATAGCAAGGATTAGGATACAAGTGAGTGAGTGAGTACGTAAAACAGGAAGGTGTTATAGGATTGAACATGATGAATTCGGAAGATAGAAGAGAAGAGGAATGAATAGCAATGAAGATTCTGTACACATTGTTTTTTTTTGCCTTACTTTCATATCACGTATCATGCATATCATCTCATATCTCATAAATCTAGTAACTCGTCAAAAAACACAACGTAATTATAATACCCGCCTAGGTAGGTATTCCCTCTCTGCCCGCCCCGATTTCTCATCTCATCTCAAGCCATCTCTACCTACGTAGTAACCTGTCGAGAAAAACTATAAATAGTTCCTAACTATTCATTTCTGTCAAACCCGCCCTAGATAGCATTACGCTACTTCGCTATTCCATCATCCTACCATCCTCTCCCCTCTCCATTTATCCCACTCCCACCCACCCACATCCATTCACCCATCTCTTCTTGCAAAGAAAGTTCAGAAGAGAAGAGTGAGGGCATCTCTTTGAAAAGAAACACCAAGTATCATCTGTCCAGCTCGGCTCTGCTAAAGAAAGAACACTTTTAAGAAACAAAATCGATTCAACTCCATGCTCACCCCCTTCCTCCCAAACCCCGTGTATATCATCTCGCATCGTATCGTGGCGCATCGTAATAACGTAAGTGATGGATAAATACGTATTAGAATGCCGGAAAAGCGGCTTATAGAATTTCTTGACACTGCCATCAATCTTCTTTGGTTTCCTCTACCAAAGCATCCATCCATCAGTCATAATTCATCCTTTCAATTTGGAAAATTTCAATTTCATCCCTTCAATAATGCACGCACCCCATCTATTCCTGCCTCCTACCGGTTCCCCAACGATCTCTAAACCATCCACTCAATCCTCCGTTTCCAGCTCCCTCACCTCTAGTCGAACCATCACTCCCACTTCTCTGACTCCTCGGTCTATCCCTTGAAAAGCTTGACGTTGAACTTTCAAATACTCTCCCCTGCTCATTTCCACCCGCACTCATACCGGAATCTCTTCTAGCCAAAGCTGGAGGTGTGGATGCAGTGCTACTTGGAAAATAACCCGGCATGTGTTCGCTTTGAGCAGTAGGGCTAATGAAGAAATTACCCGCCAGTGCATCTTCCCTCATTCTCTCCGACTGCCTTTCTGTTTCTCTTCTTTGGAAAGACGAAGGCCCGGAAAGGGGCATGAAGCGACCGTTCCTGATAGATTCCAATCGAGCTTCGTTTCGGGCCATTCGGTCATTTTGTTCTGAATTGAGTCGAGAAAGACGAGCACGGCGGCTAGTTGGAGAACTCGGGGATTGTGAAGTTGGTGAATTGCTCGATCCTCTAGGAGACGAGGCGGATGCTTCGTCAGCTCCGATACCTTTGCGACAAATGGGGCAGGTATTATGGGAGCTGAGCCAGGCATTGGCGCAAGACTCATGGAACCAGTGGGAACAAGGAAGCACGACAACTTCAGTACTAATAAACACATCATCCATACAAACGCTGCATTCACCTTTGCCTTCGGGACCAAGCATCTTTTCGTCGAGAGCCTTCTTTGGAAGGGAGGAGATGGCGTCAGCAGGGGCAGGACCAGGCGCGTTGGATTGTTGATGTTGTTCCATCAATTGTGACATGATTTGATCAAATGCTTCTTGCGAATACACAGCATCGCCATGTACTGCATTTGGATGATTGAAAAGTGATTGAAGAAGAGCTGGCAAGCCCATAGCACCAGGAGGCATGCCAGGACGACGAGCCTCGCCATCTTCACCTGCTGCTGCTCCAGCAGGCCCGGCGCCTATCTGAGAGAACAGATGAGAGATAAGTCTGGTGTTTTGGTCAGCAAACGATCTTCAAATTAATGCAGAGAGGAAAATGGTACTGAGCTGTGAGAACAGAACGAATATCAGGGAAAGTACTGGGATCCAGCGTTTGTATGGCCTGAAACATGCCCATGAGATTGGGAACAGGAGGTGCATGAGCGCTGCGTCGGCGTGCTAGCTCACGAACATTGACAGAAGGAGAAATCAGGGGTGCATACGTAGACAAATCCTCAACAGGTGCTCCTTGACCCTGGGGACCATTTGTATCTCTTGGCCTTAATCGACCATTTTCAAGCGTTCCTTCAAATGTGTATCGACCACCAACAGTGTGAGGACCTTGACGACCACCTATTCCGGCACCAACTCCGCCACCACCCGTATGAAATTCTCCGGCGCGCGGGAACAAGTCATCATGACCCGATCGACCCGTGCGAGCTTCTCTCAAATTCGGACCCAACAGATTTCCCAGCATGCTTTGAAAATCTCGCATTGTATCATCGTCCCCTTCATTACCACCTGGGGCCCGCCTTTGGCGATTGATAATTCTGTTAGCTTCGAATGGGCCTGGTCCGGACGTTCTTATCGTCTGCGAAATTAAAATAGAGCCACCTGGACCATGTGTAATGTGTTCTTCAATATCCGCTTCTTCCGGATCTGAATCATCGGCCCAAGGATTATGGTTATTGAGATCGCGAAATGGTGCATTTTCTGGAGAATTACCCATGCCAGTACGAGGGTCGCTATTTGGATCGACCTAATGAAATGATCAGAAATGACATCGAATGAAGAGCTGCTGAAAGTTGCAGACTTACTATTTCAATAATTTCTCCCTCACACGCTGGACATACTAAGCCATGTTCATCCTGATACCATTCGTTCTCGCATTGATGGCAGTAAACCACTTCCCTTTCTCCCGTAGCATCCAAATGTCTGCCGCCACCAGTTGCACTTCGTGGGTCCGCCATGGCTTCTCTGAACGTTTGGTATGCCCCAAGGGCAGTCAAACCGAGAGATATTGCCAGGCCTGTCGTGCGCAGCGCTCGTAAAGCCAGAGTGATTAATTTGGCGTGCTTGCTTCGACTTCTCACTATCTTACAATGAGAGCGGGGAAGCTCGTTAACCTATATCCCCTACTGACAGGGGGTTTGAGGATATCGTAATCGGTGTGGTGTATGTGATTGCTCCGAAATGTGTGTCAACAGCATAAGGCCGCAATCAACCCACAGTTATTGTGGCGTTAGATTGCACACTGTAGTTCGGAAAACTGCCTCGATGTGATCGTCTTTAGATTGATGATCGGAAGTTCATGTGGTTGGGCGGGGAAGAAAGACGAAAGACGAAAGTTGAAAGTAGTATTATTTGATTATTGAAAGTCGTTGTAATCATTGACCATGCAGTGGTAGATTTAAATAGAAGGTGAAGAAAGTGAGGAAGTGAAACTGATTTGAAGTTTCTTGAAGATTGTTGTTGATGTGAGAGTGTGAGTAATAGGAAAAGGGAAGTTTATCATTGAAGTTGGTGGTTCTATGAATTTGAGATGGGTCAGTGACGCAAAGTACCGGTGGCCGATTCTATGGTTCTATCAAATGTGGCAGGGGGGTTCAGAACTTCAGATTGTGAGTGGATGGTGGCAATGCTATGCTGGGTCCTTTTAGAACGGACAATCCATCCATTCTCCAGATTAAATGCTACATAACTTACCTACAATATGTGATTTACAAGTGGTGACATTGGACAAGCTTAGAAATTTGACTGTCCTTCAAATGTTCAGTCGTCGCACAATGATGTCTATAGGGATTTGCTTGCAGGAAGGACGAGAGTATAACATTACCACGCTCAACCGATAACATTCTGACGCCTTCTAACAATTCCCCAAGCTGAAAGAAAAGGTGAATTCTAGGTTGAGGATGGAGTCAAATCTGAGACTGTGATGAATCAGATACATAGTATGCAACGTATAGTTCCAATCGCTTCAAGTCACATTTTGAAAGATTGAAATGTTGAATATTGAATAGTGAAGTTATTGTCATGACGCAAAGTCGCACTACTGCAACCAATGGTATATCAAAAAGGCCCCCCAAGTCATGTAGAAACACATCCATTCTGTTCATCCGAGCCTCTGGAGAATTGGAACCGCCGATTATCTATTATTTCTACTCACACCTCTGAACAACATCGAGCCCACAACTCCAGCAGCAATAGCAACACCACTGAGGATCGCAACACCTATTAAGCCTTCTTTCGCAACTTTATCATCGATCAACCCCTTCAGACTGCTTGCCTGTAAATTCTCAGGTTCCTTTTCCATTAATAAATCATTGTATCGTCGTGCTTCAGAGTAGTTTCCTAGTTTGTAGTTGCCAAGGGCGAGGTAGTAGAGACATTCCCTTCTTCGTTCTGGGGATGTGCGAAATATGTCTGAGAGGAGACGAACTCCCTCTTGTTGTTCATGTCGAGAATTTGATTTAATCAATCCCTGATTAAGTTAGCGACTGGCCAGAGATACTGAGAACGCTGGATGTACAAACCCATGCGTAGTTGAACTGTGTCTGCACGCCAACATGTTCGCCTTCTTTCTCATATTGCGCTCTTAGAACTTGGAGTTCTGAAGGCTTCAACGGGCTGGCATCTTATTAGATTTGATCTTTCATAGCTTTTCTACCGTTATCCCTTTGAGAAAAACTAACCTTTCAGCATCCGCGGCATCTGGTATGGCCAGTCTTGTTAGCATCACTGATTCCAGGCGAAATGCATAAAGAAATACTTCGAAACGAGTATGGAGTTGGGTATCCAAAATTTCGGTAGCCATATTTGTACTTACATGGAAGTCCGCCACTCATCTTCAAAACTTTCTTCTCAAATTTAGTATTGTTTAGAAAAGGAACATGGAAGTTGCGATATGAGATTGTTTAATCGAAATGGTTAGAGGTGCTCTAAGGTTGGATGGAGTAGCTATAGCGTCATGTGGTGCGGCCGCATGGGATTTTTAGGTTGTCTTTACAACCTTTTTCAGTTGTCAGAAGCGGGCCCTGTTTGTTTACATCAAAACCTCAACTCTTTGCTTCACTACAACGAAATCACAAATATACAACAATCACATCCACACTTGCTCTTCCAATCATTTACAATATGCTTCTCGACGAAGATCCTGCGACTCTAATCCGTCATACAATTGGCAATTTTAATATTGTGCCCGATAAATCCGCTGTTGCGCGCATCAATGAATCTCTATCAACTTTACAACAAGCTCGAGATCTCAGGGTACGGGAAGCCGAGGGCGCATTGAAAAGTAAGTGACCGATTATGATATCAAAATCGCAATGTCATACTAATAATATTAAGAATTATCGAGAAACTTAACTATTCTCAATAACAATCATCTCGAGACCGTTTCCGCCCATTCTCCAACTGCACACGCTTCCGAAATAGCTACTTTAGATACACAAAAGTTCCGTATTGCGAAAGCAGCTAGTGACCTAGAGATAGAATCTGAACGTCTCTCATCACAACTTGCGGATCTTCAGGCTCGCTTGCAAGAACTGGAACAACAGGGCATGGAAGGGGGAGAGAACGTAAAGAGAGGCCAGGTGGATGATGAGATTAGTCTCAAATTAAAGGTCTATAGAGGGCTAGGGATCGATATTGAGAGGGACAGAGAGAGTGGAGAATACTCCAAGGCTATTATCCGAAATGGGAAGAAAGGGGATGTACATGTGGTGAACATGGATGCTAAATTCTCGAAGTTTTTCTACGCAAATTACTTTTGGCAGACTTTGTAGAGACAAGACGGATGGGATGGGTTGGTTGAGTGACGATGTTAATGATTTGGAAAGATTTCCGGAGTCGGTTTGGAGTTTTGGAGCTAGGATCATCGGGTATTGCATTGACTTGCATATGAAATTTGGCTGATGCCACAATCAGCAGATGAAGAGCTGTATGAAAATTTACGAACAATAATCCAGATTTATAAACACTATACCAAATGTGTGCCGCGAAGTTCAAAGACTTTCTTGTACCTTGACCCAAAATCAAAAGGACATCTCAAAGATCGGATTTAAAAGCTTTCAATGTTCATCCGGAACGGTATCACTGCTTAGAGCTTTCCGTCTAAATAGATACACGGTGATGTATATCTGGATTCCGAACTTCTGCATCATTGAGCTGTAACCTGATCTCTTTAATGGCCTCAATTATTTTCCAAAAACGCCTAAAATACGTGCTGTGTACCGTTCCCGCCATAATCCGTGGTAAGTCAACCCAGTGATGCTTCATATCTGCTTCATGTTGACAACGGAACTAGCCTTGGAGCTGGCAAGTGATCCAGACACGGAACCAAAAGATTTCCTTTTCTTAGTTCTCGGACTTCGAGTCATTGTTGGAAAATAAGTCTCCCCTCCCAACCCCAATCCAATTGAGGGTGGTGTTCTAGCCTTTGATAAATTCATTGTCGTCTCCGGGCTTCGGCTTCTCAATTCTTCCGAGGGGAGACTACCAGATGTCAAAGATCGCTGATGATGTCTCCTTCCGTGATTTGCGGGGAGTTCTAGTCTAGAATTCATATTCGTCCATAGCGCATCATCATCGGATCCGCTATCGCCTAGACGCCATCCACCTACACCTTCGAAATCTCTAGAAGGTCCAACACTGTGGCCCAATCCAAGCATCGATGCTGAGCCCTTCAAGATACGAACTGGTACTGGCGTAATTGAACCAGTAGCCGATTGACTGCTGCTAGCGCTGCTCCTTCGCTTCTTACGACGCATAGGTGAATTTGGAGGATTGTAAATTGCTCTTTTGGATTGTGCAATTGTAATTTCAGCTTTGGGCCCACAGATATAGTATGGAATGATTGCAAGGGCGAGTTCAATGTATACAATCGCGACTCGAAAGCAGAGGACACAGAAAGCGAAAGTTGTAGTGATAGTCGCGAACAGTGCGATTGGCAACGTGAAGAAGAAGAGGAAAGGTAAAATGACGGCGTAAAAAGCGCTGAATAACTTCATGACTTCAGCCAATTAGTCAAAATTTCGAGACATATTCAATGAAAGCAATTGATACGGAATTTGTTTTCCAAAACAAATGTGTACATGATGATGGGATAGATTTCAAGTAGCGCTTTGTTTGGCTGCTCGGTTTGGTATGATTTGCATGTGAAATATGTGGTGGGGTGATATGCTTGCGGAGTCTGTGCGGCAATGCGGCCGCACTTAGTCCACATGAGGTGACGTCTGGAATTGAAGATCAGAAGATCATCTACTTGTGTGTTTTGACCTCACTTCATAATCCACCCAGACGTCTCTCCACAAGGTATAAAACCATAGAGAAATTAGAGACTGTTGTCTCATTCCCCCCTTTGATGATATCTAACCTGACTAAATCGGTTAGTATGGCGAAACATGCCGAGTTCCCTTGGCATATTGGTGTTTATGATGCACATTGCCATCCAACAGATACCATGGATTCTATCGAATCGATGCCTTCAATGAAAGCAAGAATTCTAACAGTAATGGCGACCAGAGAACAAGACCAAGAGCTTGTTGCTCAAGTTGCTGATAGTTATGGTTTGAAAAAGCTGCAAGCAAAGGACCATCCGAATACGGAATGCATGATTCCTTGTTTCGGATGGCATCCTTGGTTTTCGTATCAGATTTTCGATGATACCAAAGAATCACTTGATTACTCTCTGTTCAATACTGAAGCTTTCAAAATCGAGCATTATGGAAAGGTTCTGACGCCAAGTCCCGACGACAAACAGTTTCTGGTGTCATTACCACCTCCTCGCCCCCTTACGCAATTTCTGCGTCAAACCAAAGAGTATCTTTTGCAGTACCCACTGGCACTAGTGGGAGAAATTGGACTAGACAAGCAATTTCGTTTACCGAGCGAGTGGTCCGGAGATGTTGAGAGCTCTAGAGATGCAGGTCTCACACCCGGTGGAAGAGAAGGGCGACATCTCACGCCGTATCGAGTTCATATGAGCCATCAAAAGGTGATACTCAAGGCTCAATTGAATCTTGCAGGTGAAATGCAGAGGTCAGTGTCTGTTCATGGAGTGCAAGCGCACGGTATCCTGTTCGATACCTTACAAGAGACTTGGAAGGGTCATGAACGGCAAGTCCTCAGCAAACGAGAGAAGAAAAGAATTGCTGGATTAGCGCCTGCCTTGGATGATACAGATGAAGAAGAGGTTGAATCCAAGAAGGAGACAGAAAAACCATTCCCTCCGCGTATCTGTCTCCATTCATATTCTGGATCACCGGACACTCTCCAGCAATATTTCCATCCTTCAGTCCCAGCTGAGATCTTCTTTTCATTTTCAGCAGCCATAAACATGTCCTCGCCAGCTAGTGCTAAAGCAATTGAAGTCATTAAAGCTATGCCTGATGATCGTGTTCTTGTTGAGAGTGATCTCCATATTGCTGGCGAAGGAATGGATAACATGCTAGAGGATATGTGCCGGAAGATTTGTGAGATCAAAAGCTGGGATCTCGAAGATGGTGTAACTAGATTGGCGGAGAATTGGAAGCGTTTTGTGTCTGTTTGACAATTGTCAGACTATTCACACATTTGACACAATCGCAATATTACAATATAATATCAGCAGAAGATGGGCTTCGAATTCCTGATTGTGAACAAGTCTAATACGGTGGACAGCATACATCTCAGTGTGAAGTTGAAGGCAAACGCTCTTGTATCCATTATAAATCTAAGAATTTAATATATTTTACTCTTTGTTGCCGGTGTTGCATGCTCCCTTTGATACTGACAGCCAACAGACTAGATTTAATCATTCCGTTCTTTATAAATACCGGTCTCCTTTCCAAGCCGATTTTTCATAACCTGTGTTCCTGGATATAGTCGGGATTTCTTTCAACGTTCTTGAGGCTCCTCGAGGCGGGAAATAGCATTTCTTGCGCGCGATCATATATTGATGTTATATCAATTCAACTTAACTATTTGAGTCCGATCCTTACCCTGTGTGATAGCACACGTTATGGAGAGACTGACATATGGCAGCGAAAATCCCTTGCTCACTGCCCATGCGCCTTGATCTGCTTGAGAATTCTACAGTGTCTTTGCCATCGTAATCTACCGAATAAGTATTCTATTAGCAGCTAAAAGTGAATGATCTATCAAAGGTGCAAAACTGTATGGGAAATTCGTCATTTTTCAGACGAAATGTATCTAGATTCTTCACTAGCCACGAATCCATGCCTAAGTCGAAAGGAACAATTTCAATACATAATTTGAATGCAACACCATCGCCACCTACGAATCTCAAGCTGTCGATACTTACAACGCACTGTCTTCGCTTCTTGTGACTGTCACAATTTTAGTATTTCATTTGGATAAGTAATTTCCTGTGGTTGAAATCAACTGACCTGGCATAGAACCAGGCTTAACACTCTTCAAACCTGACAACAGATCCCGATGAATTCTGTTATGGTCACAGCAAAGCCCATCCAGTTTGCCCAATAGTTCATACGGTGGGATTTATTATCCTGTGGAGTACGAAATGAGCCGTTGGCGCGTTAGATTCTTGTTACCCTGAGCAAAGCATCCCATATCTTCTAATCCATCAAAGGTATGTCAATCCCTGACACATGTAATAAATCTTTGGCTTTTGTGCGAAAATTTTGGAGTCTTTCGTCTGTGTGGCTCTTGCATTTGTTTCTCATTGTAATGTTCAGAGCTTCAGATTTGATGTTCGCTGTACTTCCGAATTTGTTGAAAATTTCCCTCCAGCGCTCTTTCAAGATTCGAATTATTCGAGCTTGTTGTATTACAAGGCAGTGTATACCATTGGATCTTAATGAAAGTGTCTCAAATATTTCTCAGGTTATAATACAACAGAGTGGTACTATCAACCCCTCTTCTGCAACCATGTCTGTTGGAAGCTTTTGATTAACCCCGCTCTTCAGTGAATCTTCGACAGTGGAGTCTTATCTTTGATTCGGTCATATGCTTCTTGTTGAATGTTTTTGTTATCGAAGGATTTGGGTGAATGGTTGGTTAGCGTGGTTTGGCTGCTTAAGACTGTCTACTTAAGCATTCTCCCCACGAGAATAACCACTCAAGATCAACAACAAAACAACAACAACGATCACAACAGCTCGGGCATCTGGATTCTTTCCAAAAGTCCACTTCAAACCATACTGTCTAATTATTTTAACAGAAAATTTTTCTTTTCGAACTGAATACTAAGAATCTAAACAGATAATCAAAATGACTGTAACAAGCCATCGTCAAACTGATTCTCCTTCAGAACATTCACATTCTCCTATCATCACCGAGTCGAAAACCCCACCCACCACTGCTCAACCTTTTGATGACAACAAGGCCTCTAAAGAACAATCCATTATTGATCCAAGTATCGTCACCATGGAGCAAGATCACAGTGCAGCAGCATTGGAAGGGCATGCAGGTGGTGGCTTTGATCCTAACGGTCATTATCAAAATGGTAAGTTTCACTTGTTTTGTTTTAAAGATTCTTCTGGCTTTTGTTGCATGTCTTCTTATCTTCCCTTAACTTGCATTCATATATGCACATTATGATCAGTTCGACGAACTTGTCAGCCAGTATAACCAAAATTATCTCCGGGCATCCTCTTAACCTAGTCATTGTACATCTCATACTTCATCTCATGCATTGTGAAGCATTACTTGTTTTCACTACTCTTTCATCTGGAAGTCTCATTGTCACAAGAAATACATTATAGGTGGAGGTCGTTGCTCTTTTTCTTTTATCGTTGGTTGAGTTGCATCACCAACGATATTCAAATCAACCATCACTTTGTGATAGAGTGCATAAGAGCCTTGTCATCAAACCATTCACTAATTTTCTGTTTCATGAACTTGGTAGTATTTTGAAAATTTCAGTATTCGTTGCTAACAATTTCACATAGCATATATGAGCATAAGCAAAGTTACAAATGGTGTTGTAAATGCTCAATCTCAACAACTTGATATTCCCGATACCCAGGGTTCATCTGCAGGCCCAAACACTCGTCGAAATGCGAACCAATCTGGACTTGGTGATGGGGGTGTTCGTCGTCAGTTCCAACAACGCAATGATAATGGTAGTAAGAGTCATGATAGCCTCCTGGATCGTGCCAGAAGAGATTCCCGTCGCTATTTCCACTCATCTGAGGAAGATAGTGACGGCGGAAAGCTTGACCAAATGCAACCTCATGAGATGATACACCAGGCACAAGGAAATACCAATAACTTTGATAGTCCTTCTGCGGGTCGGAATGCTCGTCGTGCTGCCACTCGACGTTCAAATAAACAGCCTAGTAGCAGGAATGGTCGCCATGGCCAGGATCAGTCTCAGTCAAATATGGATAGCGGCGATGACTTCGACACAATAGATGAAAGCCGTCAAAACAATGGAGCCGCTTCTCAACAGTTCCAGAGAGTAGCACTCACATCGGGTCTTCCAGGGCCTCACTTCCCCATTGTTCCCGTGGCGCCTGTTGTCAAGGGCCGAGTTGTCAAGCAAAGTTTGAGACGAGGTAATCGCCCGTTCGCCAACGTCAGTGATAATGAAGATGGTGCTCTTGAGACCTCCGACTGTCAGGATAGTGACATGGATGATGACGAGTTCTATGAGCAGGATATGTATCAAGATGAAGGCTCTCATTACAGCCCCGAATACGATATGCCGATGGCTGAGGATGAGGAATACGATGAAGACCACGATGGGTATATGTTTGTTTCCGAGCCTGGCTCCCGCTGCCTAAATCGTATCGAGAAGCACCGTGCTGGTGTTGCATATTCGTCAAATGTACGACCAATCACAAACACTACAGGATCGAATGGTGCCAGTCGGGCCCATCCAGCCGTAGTCCGACGTATTAAGGAAGACAGACCTGGTATCTTTTTTAATAGCTCGAGCGAAAATTTGGCACCATCGAGATATTCTGGAGCCGTTATGCCATGGGGTGTCAATCAGCAGCCTGTATTGGTTGACCAGGAGACAGTCTCGGATGCCCATCTCAAGAAGAGAGGCCTCAAGCGTCCTCCACCTGGAGGAAAGGTTGGCAAGAGAAGTTATGGAGCCAATGATCCGGAAAACATCGCAATTGTCAACATGAAAGAGAACCAGGGCATGTCCTTTGCTGAAATTGCTGAGCATCTCAATTCAGAGCGCGAGAAACAGGGGAAAAAGCCAGATCTTAGTGTTTGCGGCGTCAACGGACGCTACAACCGCACCGCACCTATTCTCTTCGCCACTCAGGGTCTGAAATTCGTTCCATTGAGTGAACGCAAGAAGGCTAAAGGTGCAGCAGCCCATGGAAAGTCAACTAACAAAGCTGGTTGGACTGTTGAGGCCGAGAATAAATTGGTCGATATTGTCAATCAGGTCGATGCTGAGAAATGGGGTAATGTTGCACATCTGTTAAACATGGAGCTTTACAATGGGCGAGCTGTATATGACGCTACGACTTGTGCTAGGCGTTATGCTGCACTCTAATATTTTCGCCGACTGTCGAAAATCTAATTGCATCGAAATCTTGAAAACGTCAACACTTGGTTGCGCTTGAGACTTCTTCCTAAGAACTGCACCAGTTTCCTGCTTTATCACATCCCAAATCTGTTTCCGCCTCTTAATCATCATTGTCAGTTCATAGCCTAGCATTTCTTTCTGGGCTTTACTAGATCACCTCTTTTTCCCGCCTGACTTTTCGAATCGAATCAGCATTTCCTTACATGACCTATACATAAAATCATATACCACACATTCATTTCGACGGCAATAGGCTGGGAGGACGACCACGATACACAGCAAGAGTTATACACAGAAAGAGTACTCAGTTCTACTGAGATAGAAGATGTTATGGGAGAAGCTGGTAGTAAAGGATATATGGATGGTAAAAATGTATTTGGGTCGCCTGTGTAACACGATGGATTTTACGATGGATTTTACGATGGATTACGATGGATCACTTTCTTCCTTTCTTGCCATATCCCGGATCTGCGACTGGACTTGCGAGACCTTTGGCATAATTCTTTTGGTGTTTAATACCCCGTGGTCTATTTCTTCTCAGAAAAGGATGGACAACATGCATGGATCTAAAGTTTTAAGATTATTCAATGGGTTAGCAAAATGATGTTGTAGCTTAATCACAGCACGGTGACAGTGAATAAATACGTGATGGTGAATGTGGATTCATGTTGAAATTGTGACCTTTGCTATCGATCGATGACTAGATTAACGATTGTGGATGGCCATGCCATTTAATTCTTAAACAACATATATCGCCCAAAGTGACACCATACGCAAGGTCACTGAAGTGGCCCAGGTCGAAATCTCTCTTGATTCCTCAACTAAGAAAACGTCGTTTCGACCACCATTCACTATTGTCCCCTGTTGTAGAAATGTAAAATGTTGAGAAGGGGAGGAAGTCTTGATTCAAGATGACAGATATTCTCATGGATGGAAACTCAAAACATCCCCAGATAGAAACCTTCAGTAATAAGTGATTAATAGAGATGAAGCTCACCGGGCGAGGCTGGAATTTGATTACTAATTAAATCGCGCTTTGTCCCGTCAATCAGTGACGACATGACTTCACGTCGCGTAAAAATCAATTTACGCGTCTCATGCATGCCAATCGCGACCCCCTCACGATCTTTGGTGTTTGCGCTTGGAAATATTCAGTTTCTGATTCATCTTTACCCATCGGACTACATCTGATATCAGCCATTGAGCTATTGAATTCCGCGCAACATTGCTCGAAATTTGTGATATCTGGGCTAGTGAATCGATAGGTTTGTCGACACGAGTTTTACTCCGGAATATAGTGAGGTATTAAAAGAATTTGAGCATTTTACAAAGATTAATCGTGTCTCGGGATTTGACCATCAGAGGGTATCACTGCCACTTACTCAATAATTGCCACCGATTGAGCAAAGTCTGATTGCAGCTTGAGAGCCCTAACGGAATCTCTCAACAAATACCCAAACAACTACAATACGAGTATCTTTGTTATCCCTCCAACAATGAGTTCTACGCCAAGTATGAGTCGTTCCCAAACACCTCTATCCAAACCACGTACCAGTGCTCCATCTTCTCCTCCGGAAGAATTCGAACCAGAAGAATTTCCCGAGTTCGAGCCCAATTTTGCCACTGAAGAGGAAAAGAAAATAGTCGAAGAAGAAGAGAAAGCACGAATAGCAAACACAAAGGCAGAAGGAAGAAGACGAAAAGCGATTGCTAGAAAGAGAGCTGAACATAATGAGTCAAAGGGGGAGCGAGAAGCTAAAGCCAGACAATTGGACGAATTGCTGAGTAAGAGTGCGGCATTTGGAGAAGTGCTAGTAGGAAAGACAAGGGTGTTGGGGCGTGTGGGAAGTGGAATGGATGGGAAGGCATTGGGTGAACATGATTTGACAATGGCAGAACAGCCCAAGTGTATGGTGGGTGGTACAATGCGAGAATATCAACTAGAGGGCTTGACCTGGATGTATGAGATTTGTATACAAGGCATGTCTGGAATTCTAGCAGATGAAATGGGCTTGGGAAAGACAATTCAGACGATTTCGCTTATTGCATTATTGAGAGAGAAGGAGAGTTATTTGGGTCCACATCTTATTATTGCTCCGCTGAGTACACTTTCGAACTGGATAGAGGAATTTCAGAAATGGACCCCAGATGTACCGGTCCTCTTATACCACGGTACGCCAGCACAAAGAAAGGAGCTCCTTCGTACGCAGATGATGAAGCACATCAAAGGTGGCCGTCCCGATGAAAAGTTCCCCGTTGTCTGTACGAGTCCAGAAATTGTTCTTCGAGATCACGCGGATCTCTCCAAAATCAGTTGGGAATTTATTATTATTGTAAGTCTTATATTTATGTTAGGGTGTCCAATAGCTGACATAAGATATAGGATGAAGGTCACCGAATGAAGAATTCAGAGTCAAAATTATTCCAAACTCTGAGGACCTTTACATCTGCTACTCGTCTCTTGATCACCGGAACACCACTGCAAAATAATCTTAAAGAGCTTTGGTCGTTACTAAATTTTCTCTTGCCTACAATTTTTACACAATGGGAAATGTTCGAGAGTTGGTTCGACTTTAGTGATTTACAAGATGAGGAAGGTACCGAGGACTTCATCGCAGATCAAATGAAGCAAGACCTAGTCAAAAAGATGCACTTGATTCTTCAGCCACTGTTGTTACGACGAGTAAAGGCTGATGTCGAGCACATGCTTCCAAAAAAGCGAGAATATGTGCTTTATGCGCCAATGACAAAGGAACAGATGGAATTGTACAACAAGATTGGTGATAAGACAGCTGATCTTCGCAAGTATTTGGAAGAGAAGGTCGTAGAAAGACTGACGGGGGGCAAGGCTGTCAAGAAAGACTCGAGCAAGGCAGCTGAGGCTACCATTAAGGCTGAAGTAAATGCGGAAGATTCTGATAGCGAAGACGAGAAGCCATTGGCGATTCGAAATAAGAACAAAAATGTTACCTCAGAATCTACTCCGGCTTCAAAGAATGCATTTCAACAAATGATGGCGAAGAGAAAGCCAGGTAGACCACCTAAGAATCAAAACGCTATCCCTTCACCACAACCCTCTGTCGAAAAGGGAAAACCTGGTAGGAAACGGAAGCTAGTTGAAGACTCCCTTCAATTACCAGCTAATAAATCCGCAAAATCTAGCCGAACTGCATCACCAGCTGTTAGTGTTCGTAGCCGCAGTTCACGGACTAGAAGAGTTTACGAAGAAGCTGATGCATCTGGGGAGGATGACCTTAGTGACGATGAATTTGAGTCGAAATTAGCAGCGGAATACGCCGAGAAAGAAGAAACAGAACTCAAGAACAAGAACCAAATCGAAGATGAAACAGCGAAAGTTCTAGAGCTTGCGAGAAAGGAAATTTCTAGTAAGAAGCTAGGCAATCCTGTTATGCAAATGAGATTAGTCTGTAATTCTCCTTTGAACTTTTACAATCCTTGGTCCGCGGATTCAGGTATTCCATTCAACGAAACTCTGGTGACCTCTTCTGGAAAGATGTTACTTCTCGACCGATTACTTCCATCACTATTCTCGCGCGGCCACAAGGTTCTTATATTCTCACAGTTCAAAACCCAGCTTGATATTCTCGAAGATTACGCTCGCGAACTGCGAAATTGGAAAGTTTGTCGAATTGACGGAAGTGTAGCACAAGACTTTCGACGTCAACAGATTAAGGAATTCAACGAAGACCCAGAATTCAAACTATTTCTTCTCTCCACCAGAGCCGGTGGACAAGGAATCAATCTCGCAAGTGCTGATACTGTTATCCTCTTTGATAGTGATTGGAATCCACAACAAGATCTTCAAGCCCAAGATCGCGCTCACCGTATTGGTCAAACTAAACCTGTTGTCGTGTTTCGTCTCGCTACCAAGGGTACTGTTGAAGAGGATTTGCTCATGAGTGCCGACGCAAAACGTAGGTTGGAGAAATTGGTTATCAAAAAGGGAGGGTTCAAAACTATGGGACAGAAAATGGATACCAAGGAAGGAATGAGTGCTGATGCATTAAGAGCATTGTTACTGAAGGATGGAGAGGTATACACATGTAAAGAGGATGATGAGATCTTGACAGAAGAGGATCTAGACACATTGTGTGACAGGAGCGAAGCGGCTTACGAGAGAGCAGAGAGGGGCTTGGGTAATAAAGACACGTTTAAGATTGTCGAGACTAAAGCTGGTGGTTTGATGACAAGTATGGAGGGGAAATAGAACGGGCATATTCAGATACAGATGTTAGATGACTGGATAAAGCTTTCTTGGTCGGACGGGTGTGCAAGCGCTGCAGTTTTTGTTTTGTGTCGGATTTGTATAACAATAGTGCGGTATCATGAAATAATGTTTGATAATATGTAGAGCTTATACGGTAGAAATAAAGAGCCGTTTTGAATACACAATCGCACATACTGCTTGATATGATATCAAACATCTGCTCCTTGTGTTCTCTTTCCTCTTCCCGTAGGAAATAGAAGTTACTACCGTACTCAGATATACTTCATGTCCTCGTGCGCCAATCTGATTTCTTACGGTTTCTCTTCAGATATCTATATTTGTTCTCTGGACCTGGAGATTCCAATCGTCTCCAAAACAACAACCCGATCCAATAAGCAACGAGCAAAGAAACCGAAGAGCCAAAGAACACATCTTCTCAAGAAATCAAAGAAACCAAAACGAAAATGAAATACCTCTTCCCTTATCTCATCCTAGCCGCCATCTCCTGTCTCCTCCACATCTATCTCTTCTCTTTTACCCTCCCGCCCCTCCACCAACACCCAACTGATACCCTCCACCATTCTCACCCCTGCGCCGATCATCGCTCACCCTCCGGATCTTCACTAGAACTAGAATTCCACACCAAAGACGCGCAGGAGGAAGCGCCACAGGTAGCAAAAGCTAGTACGGAAATGACGACGTCGGGGGAGAAACCAAAGGAAGAAAGTGTACCGATAAAGGCATACTGGTTTGGAGGCTGTAGAATGGCGTTGAGGGAAATGATTATGGTTGTTGCGGTGGGGAATCCGTTGGTTTTGGGGGGTGTGCTGGGGTTGGTGATTGCGTTTTTTAGGGTGAGGTTTGGGGGGTTGGTTGGTGGTTAAGTTGGAGGCTGGGGAGATGGGGAGATGAGGGGTCGGAGAGGAAGGGGGGAGAGGGATAGATTGAGATAGGGCGGGCTTGTTGGTGTACTTGGTGATGGTATCGCACTCTTTTTGCAGTGTTTAATTGTGGGAAGTGTGCGAATCCGGGTTCGATAAATAACTTGCAGGAGTTTTGCGAGATGTACAGACTACGATCTGTTCGAATTGGACATCAAACGCGAAGTAGATATGCTATTTACCGAAAAACTCGTGACTCGTGATTCGTAACGAAGAAACATAAATCAATTCGAGATTCAAATTTCAAGATGTAAGAAAGAATTGTATAGAAGAAAACAAAAAACTAGTTGCCCATGAGAAAATTGTGGCGTCCATTTACTTATAAAGTACCTGGAAATGGAAGTGGACTTCGCTTGATGTGATTGATCTCGACTACGTATGTGTGAGTAATTGATGACATGAATTTGAATCATCAGCACCACTGATTGTTATCTCGCATATATAAACAATCCTAAACTACCTCATCTCCATCTAATTACTCAATATTTCATCGGAAAACCCCTATAACATTTAAATCTCCCAAAACTGCTAGACTTATTCCTACCAACCCCTTTGATTAAAGGAACCCTCTAACACGACATGCCATACTCAAAGTCCCAATTCATCCTCAGCCTAGCCCTCACCCTCCTCCTCTTCTGGACAACCATAATCTCTCTCCTCATCTACTTCATCTCCTCCCTCGAACCGCACAAGCCCACTCCTCCCTGCCGTGGCAATTTGATCCACGAAGAAATATGTTATTGTCCCACTTCCATTTCCCAATGTACCCCAAGACCTCCAAGCGAATCTATCACAATTCAAAATCTAGATTCTGGACCCGAAACTCCGGTCAAACAGATAATAATATATTTTGCGCTCGCAATGGCCATATGTGGGATGTTGGTGCAGATGGCAATACTAAGCGGATGGCGGAGTCCTTGGGGAGAGAAAGTTGTGTGGAGGAAGGGGGGATCAGGATGGGAATGGAAAATTGTTTCAGTGGGGGAGGATAAGAAAGGGGGGAATGGCGAACAAGCTCCTTTGATTGTAAGCGAGAATTAGGGGGATGAGCTGACATGTTGAGATGATAGCGTTGAGATTATAGTGAGATTGGACAGGATAGATGATGGGTTGGGAGAATAGGGACTTCGCTTGCGCAACAAGCTTGCAAATTCAAAGATAAAGCAGTCTTAACATTGAATGGAAAACATGCGACTCTCATGCCAGCCTGACTAAATCTGTCGACGACAATTGCAGCTTCCCAACCTATTTTTATACTGAGACCAGTGTTTGAAATATCGATTCCTCTTATGAGCCACCGGAGTGACACCGCTAGGCCACTTCGTAAGAAATTGGTATTAGTAGTAGTAAACAAATCTATCGGCTGCTCTTCTCATTCTCAATTTCCTGCTGCAACTCTGCCAAAACCTGTTCTCGTGTCCTCAAATGTGCTTCCAAAGCGTCGACCTGCTCCTTGACAGTAGCGATCTCATCCGCAACCCCCTTTAAGCTTGCACCAATTTTACTCTTCCCCTCACCAGATTCTAAGTCTCGTAACTCGCGGCGTTTGTAATCCAATAGCTGTTCTAACTCTCTCTTGACTAATGCAGGTTTGGTATCTCGTCGTCCACCAGATCTTGCTGCAGATGCAGATTCAACCTTTTCGAGCTTGGCTTCAAGCTCCGCAAGTTGTTTCTTCAGTCTAACTTCCTCCCAATCCTCAGTGGTTTTTGTGCCCGAGAAATCCGTGCCAGCAGGTCTATAGCTGCCCTTTCCGCCAATTCCAAGTCGACTCATATATGTCTCTCCGAATTTAGCTTTGCGACCAGTACTCGTTTCTTCATTGCCAGTGACGCCCCATTTTTGCGCCGGCGATGCTACACGTTGATTATCTACCTGGTAATCAATCTGATTTCGTTCAAAACTTGCTCGAAGCGACGGTGGAACGGTCCTAGGGATGCGATATCCTTCGTGCCTATTATTAAGTATATGTAAGAAGGCGAGAGTGGCATCTTTTGTAATGGCAGGTGCAGCAGATGGGTTGATCAAATTCCAGGCTGAGCGAATATCGGTGTCTGGAACTTCAAGTGAAGAGTAAAGGGTATCTAGAGATTCAACTTTGCGAAGTTAGACTTTGTTGGAAATATACCCTAGCGCGCATGCACTTACAAGTGATATCTCCTCTGCCATCCCTATTCGCCGAGTATATCTCTTCGTATTTGGACTTATCTGACGGGCTCATGTACCAATCGAAACCATCCTTCAAACCCGGGGTATCATCATCATCCTCAACACGTTCAAATTGAACTTGTCTTCCGGTGAGTGCTCGATTGGCCTGGACTAAATGTGCTTTCGATTCAGGGACAAGCCAGTCCGGTAACGCTGGTGGTACATCTGCATATTCCTAGGAAATATTCGCATTAGAACCAATCCAACAAACATTGGTATGAAATCACCATACCCCATTAACAAGATCGAAAATCAATCTCATGGCCACACAGAATTCCTCAAAATCCAAGTTCCCGTCGTTGTCTACATCTGCCAAGTCCCATATCCGTTCGAGTTGTTCGTCTCGTAGTTGACTGTTCTTCAACACTGGTGCGGCCTGCGCACCGGTAAGATGTGTGCCACCATTTGACAGAGAAGCAAATATCTCCCAATATTTCTCGATCTCGCTCTGTTCAATTTGTTTATTAGACATTTTGTTGTGTTTTGGCTTGCAAGCTCACCCCCAAAGCTTACGGGGGTTTATGGCGGAGGCACGGAGGTTTGTTTGGAGGTCCACACTGTGACCAAACTTGGTCTGATTAGGTAATCAGCATCTCCAATATCAGAACAACGACTCGCACCAAAGACGCTAAGAATAGGTACCCCAGAAACCGGACTGTAATTACTCGAAGTCTCGAACCTCAAGCACTCACTCAACATGATATCGTTAAACGACCGTACCTACCTACGTACAACTCGAAGTGGAAGAACGAAAAGGTTCAATCCTCTACGGTACAACGATATATTCACTTTGATCGTCTATTCGGTCGACTATCACCAGTCTAATTAATACTTAATACCTCCAAGTTATCTTAATTCAGAGGAACGAATCGTCCAAAAGCATCGGCATTCTTCTGAACAATAATTATAGTATCTTCTTTTACCAGATTTCTCTGGTTACCTCAAAGTTTTCACGTCTTTTGAAGTATACCATCCTTTTTTCACAATAATTCCAGATCCCTGGAGAGCCTCTTGGCTCCTTTCACGTTGTCTTGCACAATGACACCCCCAATGTTGAATGGTATGGATTTCACAGACTCTGCAACAAGTCCTGCAGAACGCAACACCACTCCTACTACTTTATATTCATGGAGAGTAAGTTCACTCGGCTGCTACTCTTGTATGAAACTATCTAACTTAATCTAGCCTCCGTCGCCGCCTCATATCCACGTACCACCCCTCTCCGGCTCAGATACTTCAATCACTCTATCGAAATATCGCGGGTTGGATGATGAACAAGAGACTCGAGAAATTCTGAGTGTAATAACACAAGGACAAAACGTAGCCGTGGAAAAGCCGGATTGGAAGTATGAATTGCGACGCCATATTCAAGCCATCTTATCCTTCCTTTATCTCGGACCATCCTCCGGCGCGAGAGAAATCGAAACTCTGAGACGAGAAGGAATCACAATGCTACTTGTGATCAGAGATACCAAGACAGCCCAAGCAAGAATTCTCAGTGGTGCAAAGGTAGCAAGCCAATTAGGCATTGAAGCCGGTGCCATTGATGTTAGCGGTAATATGGAACTCATCGCTGCGTTTCCAAAAGCCATACAGACCATAAATGATCATCTCATCCGGGTATTCAGACACCGAAATCCTCAAGGAGTAAACAGCCAGCATTTGGCTGCGACACCAAAAGTTCTTCTCTTCTGCGAGTCAGGAAATGAGCGATCTGCTGCTGTTGCTGTAGCATATATCATGGCGACTTATGAACTAGGACTCATCGAAGCCATACAATATGTGCAAAACCAGCGGTTCTGTATAGCTTTTGATGATGAGATGAAACATACTTTATTAAACTTCCATCAACTTCTGGAAGCCAGAAGAAGTGTCACCCAAACTCGACAGGCTGAGGCAACTGTATCATGCAAGTCAAAGAGACGACTTGAGCTAGACGATGATGATGGTGATGTAGATATGGACTGCCAACAGGACGATCGGGATAGATTTTCTGGGCGCACAAAGTTTGCTCCATTCATGTAACCTGGAAAGCAACATGTGGCGAGATACATTGCATGATTGGCGATTTAAGTTTCAGGGTGGATCGGCGTAATGGTATTATAGGACACTTAAATTGGTCGCATGATAGGCGTTCATCGATACCCCAAGGCAGATGCAGGAGCAATGTATCTTACGGTACAAACATAAATTTGAGTAGAATTTTACATGTCATAATTGTCGTGTTCAGTTCGTTTTGGTTGAAAAGATCTACCCAATTTATGTGCTTGTTTCCAACAACGTACTTCCTGAATGGAACATAAGTCACGGGACAGATTTCATTCCAGTTTCTCCTAAGTTCAATTCCCTCGACATACACGCATATTATTTAATTACACGACCACCTCACCCATCCGGTTACAAGCCTGGTAGTGGGCTCTTGATCACGTTCCTTATTGATATCTACCATGCCTAATCCCATCACGTGAACCTTATGGCCAGCTCAACCAATCTGCCCCTTTTTACAACTTTTTATAACCGCGCCATAACAAACTGCGCACTTGTTAATTCGGAGAAGGGCGCATGAAGAAAGTTTGTAAAAAATTTAAGCTTAGAGGAGTCGAGTATATCGATAGGAGCAGGACAGAGTCACTAGAAGGAAACTCAGGTGAAGATATCACAGTGATCTTTTGCTAGATTATTGAAGCCGGAAGTGAGGAGATTGCTCCGCCTATATGGGTTGATGTGCGAGTTTGAGAGTGATTCCCCGGCTTTGGTGACATTCGAATATTGGGTGTCCGATCCCTATTCGCGCACAATGAGGGGTTGTGGAGATGTAGGTGAGTCGGTTGGAGATATCCAAGGCATGCAGTTGGTTGTAGATTGTGAAAATGACAATTAAACCTTTCTCTTGCCCGAAAATACACGTTTAAAAGCGACATGATTTAAATATTCCATCGAACTTGCTTCTCCCTTATCTTCCATACACCATCTTGATATTCTTCGCTCACTGTCTTCCTTGAATTGGGACTGACAACATCAATATAGCGAAAAGAATGGATATGTCGAAGTGCGACTATGAGAAGCGATAGTGCTATGAGTGGGGGGCTGGCGAGTTGAAGACTGAAGAGAATGAGTAGTTTCATATTCTGGATGATTTACTATTGTGCTGTATGAGGTCGAGGGAAGAAGTAGAAAATATGAATGTGAAGACCAGGTGAAGATTTCAGGCTCTCATTTTCCCTTCTTTCCTTGGTGTCGTTCTTGATGTTTTATCAGTGCAGTTTGAACTTGTTTTCAAATAATGGTCGCTGCGATGTATAACTCGGAATGAGATGGAGTTGCGTGGTTTCCTGGACGAGTACTTGGGTCAGACCTCGTCTAATTATATATTCCTATTTTCTTCCATCAAATACATTGATTCGAAACCCATCAAAACTCCGAGAATTCAGGGAAGCGGAGCCCTATCATTACATCTTGTCATCGTCTTGAAGTTTTAAGAGTTTTTCGCCTTCAGAGTCTCACAAAGAAATTTTCAGCATGAGCTGATGGTGGCGGTCGAGAAATCCGGCACCTTGATTTTCTCTTGTGATTTCATGATCATGTAGGTTGACACTACTTTGTAGACACAAATCCAAAAATATAGACCACTGTTCGCGCGGAATCCTCCTGCAATGCTAACCTGACCGGTCCAGCCCGCGTGGGTTCAGCTTTCTTATATCTCTTCCGTAACTCCTTTGGTTGTTCCGGAATATCTTGGTCGCTAGATTGGGTGTTCGTTGTGTAACAAGGGACTGATTCTGCGATTTATCATTTGTTCTATTCAATCAGTATGATTCTGAAAACATCTTCCTTATAAGTATTTAAAGAGGGAGACATGAATGCAACAATTCAATCTCATTGAGAAACTGGCCATAGAGGAGTGACTGCTGATGCATTATGTTTGTTCAAGTCGATGATACGCGATGAAATTGCAGGCAATAAATTGCTGACCTATTATATAGGTTCAGTCTATAATAAATACCCAGTAAGAAAAAGTAATAGGCAAGAGAATAATCTAGCTCGAGTTGAATGTGTGCAACAACATACAAATGATTACTATACTATTCCCTTCCAATAACTCATCAGCCTCGGATGCAACTCTCGCTTGTGGGGAAATGCAACCCCCACCAGACTTTCAATGATTACTGATCTCTGGTATATGTGGGGCATCGATGACAATCCATGCATGGAACAGATTTATTTGCGAGGTTCATATGAACTTGATATACAAGACTACTTCAAAATATACCATTTATGGCAACACGAGAGGTTACCATGTACCTCGAATTATGTCCGAGGACTGATCAGTAATGTATGTTGATCATCGAGCGGCAGCATTGCGATTGAGTACTTTACGTACTTATTGTGTTTTGGGAAGCGGATTTCCTTGTGTAGTCAATGAATAGGATAATGAGGGTAAAATCAGGTATAAGGACTCGAAGAAGCCCTCATACAAGTCTTTTACAACACCATTGAAATATCCTTCGATTTTCAACTATCTCATCATTTCATACACTCATTAAAAAGTCCTACCTCGAGAATTATCAGCATTCAAAATGTCACGACTGGATATCTTCTATCAACCCCCAAAAGGAGAAAGCTCTGGGCTCCCTCATGATCCCTTCAAATCTTTCGTTATTCCTCGTCCAATTGGCTGGGTGAGCATAAAATCTTTGGTCTCCTCTTTGTATCTAATTGATAATCATCCAGATTTCCACAACCTCTAAAACCGGTCAAGATAATCTCGCTCCCTTCTCACAATTTAACAATGTATCTTTCGATCCTCCAACCATCATGTTCATTGGCCATCAATCCGTCTATAAACGACAAAGTAAAGATTCTATCAACAATGCTAAAGATACTGGGGAGTTTGTTTGGAACATGGCTACGTATGTTTTTCCACTCATCTCTAATCGAACTCCCTTCTCATTGTATTCCCTTTTCCTCCAATTCAGTCAACTAACAAGCCCTAGCTACGATCTCCGGGATTCGGTCAATGCCACCGCTCTCGAATCATGGGATGACGAATTTCCCCTCACAAAAGTAACAAAAGTCCCCAGTAAAGTCGTCAAACCTCCTCGCGTAGCCGAGTCTCCTGTTCAATTTGAATGTAAAGTTCATTCTATTCTTCGAATTACCGGGGATTCTTTGGTTGGCCATAGTGATATTGTTATTGGAAGAGTGGTGGAAATTCACATCAGGGGCGACTTTATTACAGGCGATGGGGTAAGTTATTCCCTTTCTCTCTTGATTCTATATTCGAAGGGGTCAACAAGATGACCAACGAATAATTAGCTTTTCGATGTCTTGAAGGCGGCCCCGTTAGCTAGACTCGGTTATCATCAATACACGGCGATTAACAATGTTTTCGAGATGGAAATGCCGTTTATGCCAGATGATCATGTTAGTGGTAATACACTGGGAGGTGTGGTTCCGAAGGACATTGACGAAGATGTTGTGGTGATGAATGGCAGTGAGGTGTAGAGAAGGGGGAGCATTAATGTAAAGGGTCGTTAAGCTCTACGGACATAGATATTAGTGTGAGTCTATTAAGACGTCCAAGATATGGAAAGAAAGATGGGGAGGTGGAAATCAGTCGAATGCGGCGATATTGTTAGTCAAGGAGTTGTTTATTTGAAGGTCAATTTCCCTTACACACGTCTCCACGTTTCTCTTTCTTTGAGCGAACAATTACACTAGACGATATAGATTCTTACACACTTATGGCACTGGCAGTTACATGTTCGTACAATCAGGTCAAGAGAACCATATCTGAGGTGCAATCTATGAGACATGATATCGTCCAGACCAGACATACTTGAGATTTGACTAAACACTAAATAATTCAACGCCTATTTGAAGAAGAAGATTCACGAGTTCAAATCTCCAATTCACACATAAGACAAGCTATAAGAGCGTAAACTGATTGTACATCTCAATCCTCCACGACGTCACTTCAGCGTCATCTTAGACCTAGTCCGCAAAACCGAGTTTTGTTGCACAACTCAATCTGTCACAACGTCATTTATCATTCTTGGATTAAGTAATAACCAGTAAATGTCTAATCAATACGATGTCAAAAGAAGTTTTGTTGCATATCTTGATATCCTGAAACGTCATTGTAGTATAAGTTTGGGATTTAGCCGAGATCAACCCATGTAGAATACTACCGCAGCAGTTTGTTGCATATCTCTTTCATTCTGTACGTCATCCGGTGAAAACAAGGAGATAGATGCCGTTAATTTAGACTTATTAGATGTATGATATGTTGACTCGATACTTCTGAGTAGTCAATGACCTGATGCTAATCCAATTCGCTGGTGCTAACGAAGAAAAGTGTCACCTCTGTGATTTGCATCGTTATGATTGATACTCAAAAGACGACATTATGTAAACATGAATGGGTAGCAATGACGGGAACTCATATTGACTACCTAATTAGTTTCGTGTTTCAGCCATCCAACTTTAGTGTTTAATCTTCTTTCTTTTCCCCATCACCCAGAACCCTTGCAGGCATGCTCTAAATATCAACTTTAGAAAATCCGCAGCTATACAGACCATTAAGAAGCAAAGGGTTGTCGGATTCAACATCATGATTGAACGAAACCAATTCGCAAGACGGATTGTTTTTCTTATATAAGAACCTAGAAGCATAAGCTTGCTGCATAATTGTAGAATTGCCTGTCGAACTACACACCTTGGTCAAATTTTTCTGTCAATCGGGCAAAGATTAGGCTCATAACGGTAACTTTCATAGTCTTCTTCACATGCGAATAGACTGTCCCAATCCTCTTCGCCATACAATATCCATGAACCGTGCTCCATCGTAGCGTACTTCGCCATCTCCTTGATCAACACGAAAGCGTTACGATCTGGCAATTGGTCCCAAGCGGGGGTTTCTTTATACCGAGCTGGCTTTCCTATCAAGTCCACTCCTAAGTATATCTCTTGAAGACTCTGATGATTCAACAACGTCTTGAATGAATTGTATAAAGTGTTATGCCATCCATCTGTCTTAACTCCAACATCCAGTGGACAATCTGGAACACATACACCGTCAAACTCAGTGAACAAAACAAACAAGACTCGCAGATTGACGAAGCTTTCTCTTGTGACCATTGTCATAGCCTCAAAATACATGAGGTCCGCATGTGTAAATTCTGTTTTTCGAAAGTAAACGACAAGACGGGCCAGAATACTAAGTCTAGTTATGCAGTTGACATAATGTCGAGGGGTCCAAGAAAGAAAAGTTTGTAGACCATCAGGGGAAGGCTCAAGCTCCGGTTCCTGATCCCATCTCCAGCTTCCAATCATAAAATTAGATTTAGTATAAAAGTACTCAGCAACATCATGATGAATCGCCTTGCTCACTGCAAGAATAGCGTGAGTCTTTGTCAACGGCTTGTGGCTTTCTTTATAGGCAGAAGAAAGAGGCGATCTGATTAGTATCGGTTTTGTCCTGGCGACTGAGAGGTAATCGTATATCATCCAACGAACATTTATAGGCAGCCCTAAGAATAAATCCTCCAATGCTGTGCTTTGCGGGTTGTATGGTGGTGGTAAGATACATTCCGGTGGGTCTTCGAAGGGCCGAACAAGTTGTGGTAAGTTACTGGTACTCCTGTTGACTCTGAATTTTCTTTTAGCAACTGCTGTTTCTCTCAAATCTCTGGGCTTGATTAGGGTAAGATAAATGGGATATCCTGGCCTAATGGTACAACGATACCCATCAATTATGAATGTCAATTCATGTATTACAGCAGGCTTTTTCCTCTCTTTAGCTAAGGGAGTATACACAAGCGGCGTTGTAACAATTCTTGACCCAACCAACGAATTTGGTGGACGGCTATTTGATGACAACGGAGCCTTTAGCGATAAGCAATTATTCATAATTATAAAGTGATGATATTGATTGTTGACAATATTTAGAAAGGGTGGAGTAATTTGTTCACACCATGGTATATTGAACAAATCTGCGAATGAAGACCAAACGGAATATCTAAGATTACACTAAGAAGGTGCACCTCTACTCTTTCTCGTTATAGAATGCCATATAACATAGCAGGATTTGCAATCGTTGTGACATGGCAAGATTTCGATTTCCTGATTTGCCAAAAGTCCAAAACATACAGGATAAGATAGAGTGAACAAGACCTAAAAGGCAAGTGCATACTGAAAGGCCTGAAAATCGCTTGATCAATCTTGCAATTGCATATTTCTCTCATCATACCTTCCATTCATGTAAATATTCAACCCTAACTATTACGACATATCTTAAGCTATCCAAAGAAATAGAAGTGTGTAGATGCATACCCAAATCAACTCTCCAAGTATCATCTTGCGTGTCATTCAACTCGCATGAGAAAGTACGAGAGTTTGATGAAAGCTGCTTCGAAAGCGAAGAACCATGTAGATACGTCGATCGCAAAAACTGACAGTATATTACGGTATGTATAAGCATGGGGGAAACATAAACATGCATGATCTGATCACACGATGGCTTCTCCTGTCAATCACAGGTTACTCATATGTTATAGCTGAAAGTTTTAGGACTGGTAGACTTGATAGAAATTGACAATATTGAAAGCAGAACGATGTCCGAAGCGAATCAGCATTACTATCCGAACAAATCAATTGTATGAATTCAGATAAAGAAATCTTTTTAGTGTCGGACTATCATTCAAAATATCAGTTACAATTCTTCCTCCTTTAGAATATCCCGTTAAAGACCCCTTTCACACACTTACATTTTCTTTGACTCCTTGATGATAGAACATCTTCCATAATATGCATCCAAATTTCATTTGTTTCAAGAGACTCCCAACCACCACCCTGATTCTTCAAGGCTCGATTCATTGCGTCTTTGATTACGCGCAGAATTGGACTACCAATATTACAATAGTGCCTAGGGCGGAACCGATATGAGCGTGGACCCCCCTTTAGATCCATGCTAAGATTTATCTTTTCGAGGTTACCACATTGTAACAGGTGGCGGAACGATTTTAATGGACTCTGCTCCGAATATCGAGGATGGGGAATCACTGGAAAAATTATATACAGGTTCTCTCTCATTATCGACATCATTGAAGATGATATTGATTAAGTCGGGTACCCTACTTTCGAGCCACCCCTGTTTTGGGCCACTTTTTACCACTAAAAATCTCAAAAAATGAAATTTTTAACTTTCTTATTTATAAATAGAATTTATTGAAAATTTGTATATATATAATTCAAATCGTTTTAAATCTAATCTAAAAAATTTAGATTTTTAGGATTTTTCTATATTAAAATCTAAAGCTTTAAAATATCGATTTTTAAATTTATAAAAGAATTATATACAAATTTAAAACTTTTATAAAATCTTTAATAACTTTTTAACAACAATCATTAAAAGAGAACTATATATCTTTTTGAAAGGTTTGAGTTTAAATCTATATAGAAATTCAAAAAAAAAATTCAAAAAAATTAACAGATATAAAGATATAGTTAATATAACGTGGTTTAACAGTGGCTCGGCCATACCAGTAAGTCGGCCACCATTTTTACATACAAAATACGTCTGTGCATAACCGTGCACTTTCTTTATTTATTGATATAATTTTCTAAAAATCTAATATTAGATATTTAATTATATAAATATTATAAAAGTCTAATTTTTTATTAGAAATTCGAATTATTAAAGCACTTATTAAAGGAATAACTTTTTTGTAACGAGAATTGTGACAATTTCCACTTTTTTTACAATATAATAAAAATATTTATATAAAAACTAGATTTTTAAAAAAATTAAATTTTTATTATTATTTAAAATTCTTTTCTTTTTCAAAAATAACGATTAATAATTAAAATATGAATATTGAAAAAGGCTGGTTTTATATGTATTTTGAAGTGGCCGATCTACTAATATGACCGAGCCACTGTTAAACCACATTACAGTGAGTTTGAAATAGTATAAATAATCCCTGTAATTTTGAGGGTATTCTTTTAAATATCTATTTATAGGAAATTTTCTTTTTTTTCTAAATCCTTCGAAATAAACATATTATAAATTTATAATAAAATTTTATAATTTATTTTTAATAATTTTTATTAAAAAGTTATTAAAGATTTTATAAAAGTTTTAAATTTATATATAATTCTTATACAAATTTAAAAATCGATATTTTGAAGCTTTAGATTTTAATACAAAAAAATTCTAAAAATCTAAAATTTTCAGATTAGATTTAAAACGATTTGAATTATATATATACAAATTTTCAATAAATTCTATTTATAAATAAGAAAGTTAAAAATTTCATTTTTAATATAAAAAGTAGTTCAAAAGGGGGGTGGCCCGAAAGTAGGGTACCCGACTTACTTATAGATCGAGAAAACGTCTGAGCGTAATAGCTGTTATATCCTGAATAGGCTGCGTACAAATTATCTGTACCTATAGATTATCTACAAATTATTCATTCTATAGATTATTTATCAAAGGTTCTATTTGCTCTATAAATTATCTATCAAGGCTTTAAAATTATCTACTCTATACAAATAATCCACAAATTATCTATAAATAATCTATAAATATATAAATTCTCTGTTTTTTTTTTAAAAAATATAAAGCTATTTTTAGATTATTTTCCAGCCCAAATGTAATCCAAGCTTAAATTTATACTAATTTTTATATTAATTATTAAATTATATTAATATTATAAAAAATTATGAATAGTTATATAATATACACATAAGTAAATAAATATCTATAAGTAATTTATACTCGTTTTGTAGATTATCTATTCAGATTTTTGAATTATTTGTTTTGTAATGGATAATCCGTGGATTACTTATCAAGGCCATTATCCGCCCCGCGGGTACCCGTTGCACAGCCTAATCCTGAAACTGTTACATAACGCTAGTAGAAATATAAGCTCCAGAAGGCCTTTGACCATAGGATATACGATCGCAAGATCATACTGCTGGTTCATCTAAAGCAAAAGAAATAATAATGCTAAGTTCTTTGTAGTTCCTGGGTTAGGGCTCGTGTAATATGCTCAATGGAAAATTCCTCAATGAGATGAGAAGGTGCCTATAGTAATTATCATCTGCTCCAACCTGAGAGTCCTGATTGCAAACGCAATGCTTTGAATGATTCATCCTATACCTACTTCGAATATCCTTTTATGCTATTGTGGCTCAAGTCCAATGTGGTCTATTTCATTCATGTGCAAAGAGAGGCTAAAGAGACGTCATTTTGAAAGGGGTTTGAACTTCTTATAACCTTTGATTCAAAATGACTTATGTGTAAAACTCGTATAGGTATGAATGAGTGCGCGATCATATATTTCTCGAGAGACTGTAGTAAGTAGTATGTATAGCCACAATACGTTGAAGTCACATTATCCACTTTGGTCACGAGGTTGAGTGGTGATATAAAGATTATACGCAGGTGTATGCCAAGCCCCTAAAGATCGCTTCGGAAGCACCTGCATCACATACCTCAAATACCTATCCATTCATTGACATGTCGGTATTACCTTTTGATTTCAAAATCTACATGAAGCTCCTAGATAACCTGTATCTCAGAACGTGTTCGTACAATCTCCAATGCTTTCCCCACGCCCCACACGCCGAAAGAAACGGGCCGCGCAATCTGCCCGAAAGCTTGATTTCTGTCCTGTGAAACTAAGCATCCCTCCACTGTTGAATATGTCGGCAGTAGGGTATCGTACCTGGATCTGGCTACATGTGCTATCATGATGGGGTGCTATGTAACGCACATGGATGTTTAGAGTGCTACTTTAGCTCATGTACGAGGGGAATAAGATAAGGAAAGGTAAGTGGATTGATTGTTGATAGGAAGAGAAGGGAGAGTATAAGTACTGTATTTCTCTTCAACTACCCTCTGTTTCTTGCCCATACTCTGTCTCTATTAGCTTATCTATACTCTGATATCTGCAATTCTGAAAACACTACTCTTCCAATCTTACAATGGCAACCATCTGTAAGCACTCCTTCTTTAAACCTCTCAGCATACTACCATACTAATGTCATGTCACAGATGATGAACCCACTGGGTGCAACTGCGATAATGAATCAACCTATGATCAGTCAGCCATAGACGCAGCATGTAAGCAAGCATTACTGCTTGCATCTGAAAAGAAAACAGTTGGAAAGGATAAATATCCTCATGCCTATAATGGTGAGCTCCGCTATTACTATCTCCCCCACCTTTCTCCACTAATCCCTTCCGCCCAGACTACGAAAAGTTCACCTTCATCCCTGCCGCCAAAAAGCCCTATCTCGAGTTTCCTATTCTCTCCAACGGTGCAATGTACAGTGGTTCGGATCCCACTGCTCCGGGTGCGGATCGCATCGTCATTGGAAGCATTGCTACCGATTATAAATCCGCTGTTTTCTGTGCCGTGATCACACATGATGGAAGTACTAAGAATGGGTTTACTGAGTGTACGAATACTGGAGATAGCGGAGAGAGAGCCTATGAAAGAAAGGACAGGGGAGAAGAGGGGAAGGAGGGGAGAGAATTGTTGGAGAATTGATTTGTAGCTTCAAGGGAAGTCTTGATGGGTACTGATATTGGACGATCAAATGATGGGAATTGTATGCGTAGCTCCATGAGATGCTTGCGGTACTACGAAATTATAGGGCAATTGATAGAAATTGGATTTCATTGCTCCATATCTCCAAACTTGAACCTATCAGTACCTGCCCGGTCACGATGGATCCAAATATCATAAACTGCATTTATATCTCATCTATTCTAATCCCGCATATGGCCCGCACTAGAGGGTAGATCATAATTAGCGAAGTCGCTACGTAAACCTCATTTCCATCTTCAGATTTGAATATCCATTCTACCCATCCTTTTTCATATCCACATTTCCAATATAATACATGATATCTCAGGACCGACACTTCATTTTCACACCAACAAGCAAAGCTTTGCAGAAGCGAATTCAATCCCTGGTAACAATAAATTCATGCAAAGCAATCCCTCAAATTAAAGATTATTCCCACCCCCATTAACTCTCACGGAATATCTCCAATCCGGTTTCCCTTCTCCCAACCCACTCCCCATATTTGAAGCTGTCAATCCACCCCTTTCTCTATCTCGCATGCGATCTCGGTTACGTATCCAATCTATGGAGTCGCCAAAATCTACTATATCTTCATGGGGGCCTTCTTCCTTTGTCGTTCTATTTGAAGTTGGGTGATCAGGAGTTTTCGGTTGTTGTGTCGGAGAAAATGGGAAGGAAATGAAGAGAGCTGAGGTTGATCTGTAAACGGGTTTTGAAGTGAAGATTGAGATGCTGTCGAGGTAGTAGAGGGGGTTTGGGAAATGGAACTATTGGTGCGAGTATGAGTACCAGTGAGACTGTGCATGGTATTCCATGTTAATATTCTCTGTACCCCCATCCCAGCAGTAACTTTGCCATTGCAGGAAGGTGGTTCGTTGACTTGTGACATAGTGCCTCCCGTTCCACTGCCGTACCATTCACCAATACCGAATCCGCCAATGCTTTTTCGGTGCTGTTTAGTCTTCTTCTTGCGGCGGAGGAAATACCATATTGCTGTTAGAATGAGAGCTAAGAGGGCTAGTGGCCCGATGATAATACCGGCGATGGAGCCTTTGCTCAGGCCTTGCTGAGTTGAGGATGCCGAGGGGAGGACAGTGACGCCGACGGATTGGGTGCCGGCTCCAGTGTTGGACACAGGAGTCGCGACAATCGTAGAGGAGGATGTGGTGGTGGAGGTGAATGAAATTGAAGTTGTTGGTTCAAGAAATGTTGAGGAGTTGGAGCTAGAAGTTGTGATTGTAGGTGTAGGTGTAGAAAAGGATGAAGAAAATGAAGCTGAAGCTGAAGATGAAGGGTCGACTGTACTAGTTGTATTGATATCTATAGATGTAGAGGATATATATGATGCAGATGGCACAGGTAATGAAGATGAGGTAGATGAGGCAGCTGCGGTACTGGTGCTAATAGTATTTGTAGGCATCGCAGAATTATAGCTACTAGTCGTAGCTGGAGGATTGGTGGTCGAGAGAGGGCTGTTTGAATTTTGAGGGCGGGGAGGTGGCCCATTGCCATTTTTGCCATTATTCCCGTTGCCCATATCGGTACCTCCATTCATATTTCCTGGCCCTGGCCCTGACCCTCCATCTCCGCCATCTAGCTCATTTCCCTCCCACCAACCTGCACCACCACTTCCTTGTACTCCTTCATCCCCGAAGCCAGGTGGATAATCTTGGGAAGCCATAAATTTTCAGGAAAGCTACAATCAATTAGACAGAATGAATTTCGAATAGGACAGTAAGCCCCAAATTTTCCGAGTAAATTAGTCTTTGTAAAAGTAGCATTGCATTTCATGTGTCGATCAGGCCATTTTTGGGTTTGAGTCTAGACCAAGGGAAAATAAAATGGGATACGTCTTCTGTGGGTGGATTCGGAAAATCAAAAGTAGATGGATTTTAGATCAGCGAGAAAGAGCAAATATGAACACCAGCCCGCAGTGTCAAATTTGGCCTCAAACCATCCCGCGACAATACACGACTGGCCACGCAAAAAATGTGCCATCTCGACTTCTATCTTCATGCCAAGATATCTGAGCGCTCAAGATCGGATGAAGTTGTTCTTCTACTGATAAAACCATTCACAGGTTGTTTTAATCGACAATTCGGGTCGGGCAAGTTGGGAGATTTTATATTGCATTGCGAAGCTCAAGATATCATTTCATGGATATATCATATCTTAAGATATCGCCATCAAAGAAAGTAAATAAAGCTCCTGAAATCTGGTGCTTTGGCCTCCTCAATAGGTTGGTGACATGAACGCTTTGAAGAAGTTGATGGTTACAGTGGGTGTTGGCGTTTCATGTTTCGAACTTGAGGTGAAGCCGGTTTGAGAAACTGTCTCCCTTCAATATATCATCTATCTTGCTAGAAGAGTTTTATGAACTTGTGGGGTCAGAAAAGATGACAAAATAACTCTCGTCGTATTGGTATACATCCCCAGTATGATGTAATGGAATCAATTCCCACAGATGCGAATCTATCACTGTGGTGAATTCCGCCTTTCTTGACCAACTAGTTTGAAATGAGGTATTTCAATCAATCCCCAATACACAGAGCGCATCTCCGAGACCAGTGTTCACAGCTAGATCCTCAATGGAATCATAGACCTGCGTTGCAACTTCTACCCATAGTTCTAGGAAAGGCGTGGCGTTTGTTTTGGCCATGATATTGAGAACATAGAGCCCTTGCCGGGAACACCACCTGCGTCTAATCTCTCCAGGATGCATAGCTATAAGAACCATTCCAATTCCTTGAGCATATCCTTCCAGATCAAATTGAGATAACAATACTCTCCCAAGTCGATGACATTCGTCATAGTCATGCTTCTGGTATGCGTTCATGGCTTGGGCCGTTATTGTTTCTTGTGAAGCTGCCTGCAACATTTCATTCTGTGCATCACTCGATTGCAAACGTTCAAGTCCCTCATAGTCCATCGCATTTCCAACTCGATCAATTACTTCTTCGTAGGTTTCGTTTTTTTCTGGCTTCACTTGTTGGACAAGAATGAAATTGACAGCTCGCAACGTGTACAAGGCTTTGTTGAATTTCGCACGTATCTCATGAAAGTCCAATCCAAGCGTAGCTACGCCAACTCGATCACAGTCTGCACTTGCTTTGGCGACCATTTGTCTCGCCACTCGGTTTATATTTAACAATCTTTGCCCAAAGTCAACATTGTTTGGGGTTTTCAAGTCGGCTTCTGCCATGAAGTCAATAGCGCATTGTGTCTCTTGGTCGGCCTCGCGCTTTAGATTATCGGCAAAGCAACGAAGCAGTCGAAGTATCTCAGAATCTGAAAGTTCTCCGGGGCTTTGTTTAAAGTAGCGTTCAAGCGCACTGTCACACTCATCAACACTTCTTACTATGTTATCCCGCATACTAAGGTATTGCACTCTTCTTAACTTGTTGAACTCATCGTCTCTCCGTACTAACGCGACGTCATAAGCCTTTCTCTGTTCTGTATTTAATGATGAGAGTAATTGAGCATTCGATTTCACAGCTTGCACCTCGTACATCCACTTTCTTTGGGAATTGTTGAAGACATAACTTGACAACTCCGGACGGGAGGGGTCTGGTTCGATAACAACAACTGCAGCTGGTGTGGGCGCTATCATAGACACGCCAAAGTTTGTAGCCATTCTATCCCAAAAATCGTCACTGTGTATGTGTTCGTAATATTTTGACACGATAGGTACAAGCTTATTCGTCTCCTCAAATTGTGCGAAATGCTCACCAGCTTCGTGCAAGAAGATTCCCTTATCGTATTTACGTGCAGGAATCTCTTTACTAAGTAATAAAGCTGCTGCTGGAGCACCAACAATATTTCCAGGATTTAGCATTTTTGGCATTGCACCGAGGAGCTATACAAGTGGTCAGTTGTCATGCTTTGGGATGTTTAGAACCTAAAATTTTCAGCTAACCCCTTTGACAAATGAATAGCCTAACCTACAAGGCCACAATGTCAGTATTGCCTATTGAAAAACAGGTTATTAGCCGGGGGGAGAAGGGAAGGAAATGGGGCACTGGAGAGCTAGAGCTGCACTGGGATGGGAGTAAGATTATTCTACATGATAAAGCATAAAAAATGGAGTTTGAGTTCAAGAAACAAATTTAGGTAGCAGAAGCGAAGGATGTAATAAACCGATCAAGCTTACTCGCAAAATACCTCAGCACCATTACCATTCATATCGCCACCGTATGCCGGCTCATTTCGTATAATGGTTCGCCCCATTGGAGGATCTTGAAGTTGATTCAATGCGTGCTAGAATACTGTTAGCGCTTACCCAACCAATGAGGATGACGAGCTTTACTGCAAACTCATGCATAAGAGTCGAGGCAATATAGAATTGGCAGGATAATCTCTCTATTGGTGACAGATCATTTCTGAACAAAGGTAAAAGCAATTCGAGGGCTATATCAACCCAAGCTTTGTTTTCCGTGTAAAACTCAAGATCTTTGTTCTGCCGCTCGGTGAACACAATGGTGAAGCCTTCCCAACCCAAACCAGATCCGTTTGGTGTTTTCCTATCCCAGGGTGTGAGGAAGGAGGAACCAATGCCAAATTGAACTCTCTCCCGCATTATTCTCGTCAACGCTTCCGTTTTTTCTGCTGTTTGAGCATCGCTTCGAAGCTCAGGATCCCGTTTGTGAAAGAACTTCAAGGGTCCCTGTTGCAGCTTCTGCCAAGCAGGACGGCGATCGAAACGTTCAGGAACATCCGTACGTTCTCCGAAATAGAAACCATCAAGCTATGGAATGGAGTCAATCATAAGTACTCATGCAAAAGCTGATGATTGTGAAGAACTATAACACATACCCAGCATGTGGCCGCAGAATGGTGCAAGAATCTAGTACACAATCTTAAGACCGGGTCTAAACGTCGCCAGACAGCAGGATTATCTGCCGTCCATACCCCAGTATTGTCTGGCTCTATAGGGAAGAATGGTTTGTGCGATGGGAAATCCATCTGAATCACTGGCCATGTCTCTAGTGTGTGACGAGGCTGCCATTGATCTATTTCAAAAAGTGGACTAGAGAATGATTAGACATATTTTCCCGAGTATTCATAACTCCTAGAGAAAATGCTGTACAATGAGTAACATGTGTCTCGAGGACAATGGCAGAATAAGTCATTGACAGATCAGTATAAGAAAAGTCCAATTACTCAATAGGGTTGGTAAGAGTTGGCAGATAGTTCAAAGGATAAGGATACGCTCCGATTTCTTCCAAAAGTTCGGGCCAATATCCTGACAAAATCCACTTCTGATGATTCTTCCTTTCAGCCTTCAAATGCTGATTATCGAGTGCGTTTGGTGTCAAAGCTAAGGTTGATTAATTATGTCATATTAAGCAAGAGATGAAATACACACCCGACTTTTTATAAGGAAAAAAGAGTTGTGTCGGGTCCATAGCCTCTGGTAAAACTCCATATTTATTGGCCCATTCCGTACCAGCCTGGGTGGACCAAATGCTGTGGAATCTACCAAACTTGGGGTCCCAGTTTGTGAGGGGATTCTTGGCAACCATACTTAAAGTTACTTCGAGACACTGTCTATTGTAGCTGAATTTTGATAATGTTCAGTGGATGAGCACTATCGACGATATGTACCCCCTCGATGTATGTCGGCGAGAAAAGTGGTGAAATCGTGAAATAGGGATCTAGCACGATGTCGGAATTCCCATTTGTGATCAATTCAGAAAGGAATTAGCTTGTGCCCAAAACAATAAATCATATGTCGTGCAATTTTTTCATTCCTTGAGAGAAAAGTAAATCCTTTGTTTCCACCTGAGCAGAAAACACCATACTTTAGGAAAGAACTCATGAAAGAGCTTTCTTTTACAGCTTCCTTAAGAACAAAGATTCAAGACAACCGGATAAGTCTTTAAACCCACGGCTTCTCTTTTTCAATTTTGACAAAGAGAGTCTTCAGAAAAGAATATACATTTTTGGGGGAGGGGGTTGGATGGGGGAAGTGAACCACTTGGAAGCCAATGTGGCTTCAAAACGATTGGATATAAAGCATATCAAAAAGCATTTTTGCTTGTAAGAGTTTGAGCCATTACTCACTACACATTAAGCGATTTTACACCAAAAATAATCATATTTTCAACTTTTGAATCCTTGTTTTATTCCTTTAAAATATAATTGAAATTGAAAAAAACTTTAATATTCTATTAAGAATTAATTAAAAAATATGAAAAAATTTCATTGATTTTTTTATATATTTTTTATATATAAAATTTCTATAATTTAAAAGAGAATAATAAAAAAATCTTGAAAAAATTGTTTAATTTATAACTTATAAGAAAAATATTACTAGTTAATAATTCTAAAAGAATTCAATTTTAAAGTTTTCTTTTTGAATTACAAAAATAGCGAAAAATATTCTAATTATTTTTTCTGATTTGGATTATAATTAAATATTATAATTTGAAATTGCAATAATTATTTTTTATTTATTAGAAAGTTATTCAATATTAGAATTTATATAGGAAAACAGCTTTTTTACAGGAATTTTATTACGAAATCGCTTAGTGTATAGTGAGTTATAGCTCAAACTCTTATCTATTCTACTTCTAATTAATTTTATAAGTTAAAGTTTAAGATAGTCGAGAGGATATACTACCGAGGCTCATTTGAACGATTTAATCAAAATCCTAAAAATAGATTTTTGCCTGAGCTTAAAACGTATTTAGAATTTAGTAGTGTATAAATAAAGAAGAAAAAACCATTTAATTCAATACAGAACCTTAAAGGAATTGATGAAATAAAAAGAAATGAGATATTGTTAGTTCGAGAAGGATACGGAAGACGTAGCACCCACGGTATTCGTAGGTCCTAAATGTCTATATTGTATTCTATCTAAAGAGCTAGCTAAGTACAGGAAGTTGTAGGTCTTATATAGACGCTACAAGAGGAGCTAGTCTCTTCTACTTTCGCTTGAAGCTACTATATCCTGTATTCGCTAAAGACTGTAATACAGTAGCTAATGAATTGAAGCTATTCACTAGATCCTAATGATCAATGTTCATATAGATATACTTATTTATTAAAATCTAAGAAATCAATCGATATAATTATTTTCTTATATCTCAAAAATTAGAATTTATATTTAATATAATAATATTCTTATTAATCTAATTATATAAATAAACTTGAAAATTATTTTCTTTATTCTTCAAATGTTCTTGTATTGAATTTAAATTCTAATTTTTAAGATACAAAAAAAAATTATATTAATCGATTTTTTAAATTCTAATAAATAGTTTTTACGTTTTCTTATTAATTTATTAATTCGTTTATAGTTTTATACTAAATTAAATTTCTTTAAGTAAAAAAGATATTGAATAGATTAATATTAGTTAATAATTCTTATATTTAAGATAGGAATATATAATAGCTTGATTATTATAATCAAATCTATATTAAATATTATTATATTGATTTTTAATTTCATTTCTTGAAAAATTTAAAACTAATTATATTAATCGATTTATGGAATTTTAATCAACAATTTTCTTTTTTTCTTTTTTATTTCGTTAATTTTTCCAAGGTTGTATATTGAATTGAAGAATTTTTTGTAATTTAGATATTAGTTGAACTAAGTTATATTTAATTATTAATCTAATATAATAAGCTGGAATTCTTATTAAGCTTATCTCGTTTGTTATAAAATAGTTTAACGTAGTTTATTAGTAAGCGGATTATATTAATAAATAAGTCATCTCATTTTATATATAAAATTCGTCTGTATATAACCGTACACTTTCTTCATTTAATAATATAATTTGAAAAAATCTGAAAATATTAAAATTTAATTATATAAATATCTTAAAAATCTAGTTACTTATCGAAAATTCGAATTATTATAATAGTTATTATAAAAATAACTTTTTTATAACGAAAATTATAATAATTTCTACTTTTTTTAGAATATAATAGAAATATTATAGAGAAACTAGATTTATAAAAAGCTGATTTTTTATTATTATTGAATTTTTTTTTAAACTAATGATTAATTAGTTATTAAAATAAGAATATCGAAAAAGACCTAATTTTAGTATATTTTCAAATGACTCATTTAATACCCCTAATACCAATAACATATATAAATCTTTTGAACATCGCCTAGGACAAACAATTTCGTAAAAACAATAAGTCATGCATAAATCATGCAATCATCGAACTGTTTAAGACGTAGGTTGAGGAGCGGCAGCATCTCCGAATCCTGATGGAGCAGCTCCGAATGGGCGAGCTCCAGTAGGCCTGGAGCGACCGGCAGAGCCAGTTGGTTGTTGCATCTCTCCACCTGGTGCAAATACAGCACTGTTTTTTTGACGTCTTTGATGACCGGAAGGCTTAGCACGTCCAGTGGGCTTAGCTCCAGAGGAAACGGTCATTGATGCACCACCGAAGCCACTTCCAGAAGCACCTTCCTTTCCACCCTTTCCGCCTTTGCTACCACTCTTGCCGGAAACTTGAGCAACACCGGACTGTTTCGCCCTGCCGTTTCCGAAGTTTGATGAACCAGTTGGTTGGGCACCGCCACTATGGTGTCCTCCACGTCCTCCGGCTCCGCCGGAAGACATGGCGAAACTGGCAGATGGGAAAGCACTGCCGAATCCACTAGCACTACTAGATGGTTGAGCACCACCGGTAGGGCGGGATCCAATCTCACCAGTACCAGTTGGGCAGCTCCACCGAAAGCAGAGGATTGGCCAGCTACAAGAGGGGCGGCGAGGAAAGCAGCAGCGATAATCTTTGAGAAATGCATTATGATGATTGTTAAAAGATGAAAACCTTGAAATGTGGTTGGTAAGAGGAAGTTAGTTGAGAAAAAAGTTGATGAAGTTGTTTTGAGAGAGTGATATGAAGAGTTGTTTCAAAAGGTTCAGACCTGGAGCTGAAGATGTCAAAAAAGCTTGAAAAGACTGGATGCTCTAAGACTGGTTTTTAAAAATGATGTGGGATTCACACATCCTTTATATCCATCTTGCCGTCACCCCAATGATGGTAATCATCCCCCATTTCAAGTAAAGGGGTTCAATGATACTGGCAGACAACTGTTTCAAAAAACACTTCCAAACCCTGCTAATGAGTTTGCGTTCCTCCACGATATAGGTAATGGAAAGGAACAGGAAGCAAGTGATGAACCGGCATTCACAAAGTCACCGATCTCTCTTGCCTAAATGAAAAATGCCTTCTCACCTACCTACCTTTCCCCCTATAAGGTGATCAACATGCGCGCTAACGAGTTATCGAATATATATGAGGGTCCGGTACGTATCTTAAAAGTAGAAGCTAAGGTCAATCTACTCAATCTGGGGTGTACTATAAGATGTTCGCGCTAGTGTATTCATAACAAAAAGCTTTCCAATTGTAAAAGGCAGGGATAAGCTTGCTGTTTGAGCCCTGCTACCGTGGCCTCGGTACCTGCGCCTGTAGCTCTATAGATAAATTAAAGTCCAGATGAACCTTGCTTCATGAGCTTACATCCTAATTTTCACGGAATATTCTTGCAAAATACTTGGAGCAAATATATGTAGAACCGTGAAGATAGATTAGTTGTGAGACCAAACAGCTTCACCCTTATGTGTAAGCTGTCAGACAATTTGCCATGTCATTTCAAAGGTAACGATGGACCAGGTTGTGATGTTACCATCGAACCATCTCATGATGTAAACAGCATGGCGTCTAGAATCGTTCTCTTAATCAGTTTCCAGGATTTAGCTTATGCCCTACATTGTAATGATCGCCCCTAACTGTATGTAAACAAAATGATCAGGGAAATATCACCAGCGGACCGCCAATGCTTCACTCGTGTATACTTCCATTCAAGAAGGACGTTTCAACTTCGCGCCGTTGAGGCCTGTAATCGTCTGTCCTTCGTCGTAACTTTTAAGAAAGCTCTAGATTCCATGAGCCCAGTCGAAAGTCGTGCAAGGTGATCTTCAAGAAAATTCACTTCAAGGACCACAAGTCGCGGGAATCAATCTACTAATTCTCCTAGACTCTCACAACTAATCTGTTTATGTGGGACGATTGTACTAATTGCCATGGCAACGAAGATCTGGGACGGTAGGTTAAGATGAATAGGCTTTAGAAGTTGGTGATGACAACAGAAGGGATAACCGCCCTATGGCTTGTGCGTTGGGATGTCCGCGTGAGCTTTTCACTATCCGAGACGAAGTGAACCCCTGATTTCCCCACACATTCAACCTCCTTTCATTTAGAAGTTTATCTTACTTTTGCTAGAAGCGAGTTGAATTCGATGTGACTGTTGAGTTGTGGACGGTGACATTTATGAGGAGGGAGGAGAGGAAGCAAGTGACGTGGACTGTAAAGAAAAATGCGTTCAACAGAGAGCAAGAATGGAGATGGTAAGGTTATGATGGTAAAGATTGCTTCTTAGACTAATCAACTCGCCATGGATTGACGGTCGCAAGCATACTTGTCGGGCATTTAGTCAAGGGTTGAGCATGTACCACTCTGCCATCGACTCCATTTTGCCTTCGCTTCCATCAGCCTTCTAGTGATGCCAAGTTATCTGACAACTTCAGCTTCTAGAGTTTTCCTGGTTCACATGCTAGATGCTGGATATTATCTTGCTGTGATTAATCCGTCGGACGTTCGAAGGTGAAAATCCCGTCTAGTAACTTTCAGAATCTTTATTCAAGACCTTAGATCATAGAACCCAATCGCCAATTCAATGAAACAGCTAAAGGATCTATCTTAGGGTTCAGGTTCATATGCTTCTACTTTACTCAGAGCATGTCACTGCGGATATGTCTTGGCAAGAGACAGGTACCGTTGAATACCGGTATTGATCCTCAACTACAAACACGCCAAGTTAGCGTCGCGTCAATAGTTCTCAGGAATCGACTCGTTTGCGTATACGCATTCAAACCAAAACCTCATTTTTCTTTCTCTTAGGCTTCATGTACATGCGATCTCATACTCACACGTCAGCATAACGATCTTGGAAATGTTAGCATCTGAGCCATCGAGGCGAATACCGTCTGTTTCTTCTTGACTCAAGCTTCTTCTTTTCTCTCTGCCTCCTGCTTCTTCGTACTTGTGTACAATATCTCGCCAGCTTCCAACGACGATGTACCGCATCTGATACACATTTCTTGCACTATTCTTTCTCTGTCATCTCTATACGTTCAACGACGAAATGTTTCGAAATCCCATGCCAGCCTCCAGAAACTACAAGAGGGTCTTTCTACATAAAGCTCGGTCGAGCTCACCTTAGAGGCATAGACTACACAAAGAAGCGATTTGGACCAGACTAATAGAGCTGCAGTTTGATCGTGGCAGAATTTACACGTTCAATAGCAGATCAAGGAATCTAGGTGTGTACGATATCAGGTCTGCCGATCAAGCACAGATCGTTTCTCTGCACATCTTTGTCTCACAAGCTTTCTGGTTTTTCCCTACAGCACATCTACAGATCTGCATTCAATTCACTTCCGAACTCCACAACGGTCAGTTTCGATGGAGCTGATTCCACACTACATCTACTTTTCCTGTTTTGCCCTTGATATCTAAGGCGAGTCATGATCGATACTTGGTAGGATTTCACCAACTCGCATCTGGTATCTTGGATGCTTCATTATGCAGACATCAGACTCACTGACGAATAAAGACACCCTTGAATATCACATAAACTGACCGTTCACCCTCTTGCCGGCATATGATCATGATCAGACTCTCTACACTAAATTCTCATATCTTCCTCGTGTCTCCTCCACCCGTCACCATTGACTACCGCAAGAAACGTCGGCAGATTAGATCACGGCAGAATTTGGAGTCAAGCATCCCTAAGCTGTTGGAGCATAGCTACCGCATATAAAATAAACACCTAAATCAACATGGCTTTTGTTCAAAGCAGGGAAGGATAGTTGAGATGGTACTGCTCGCATGCACCTAGCAAAGCCGAGAGACTTCATTTCGTCCTGCATTCTTCGTCCTTGAAAGAATGAGTAACAGGTAGGTATCTGCAGTCTTCAATCGCATGAGGCTTCATACTTCTTGTCCGCTCAAAATATAGGAAGGTATTCCGAATTCATTTACTTTCGCGGGGTATGAATGCCCCCACCAATATCAGAATGGCCCGGGATGAACCCCACCAAAGAAACTCCACTGTTCGTTCAATCGTCATTCATGTTGTACCAGAAGAGCAATTTCACTTGATAATGTAGCTATATCCTAAGTATTTTCCCATATTGCTTTTATTTTCCATTGCATAGCTTTAGAACCTCTCATATTGATATCACACACGAACACTTATACAATGGCAAAATCAATGCAAGCTAACAAAGCAATTCGCATGCTTCAAGCAGCAGAAGATGGGGGATATGGTGTTGTAGGAGTAGTCTCGGTGAGTATAATTTACTCTTCTTTTCCTCTCAAAACAAATAGCTCATGTCTTATCATCAGTACAATCTCGAAACCATAACCGCCGTTGTCAGGGCCGCAGAACGCAAACGTTCCCCCGCACAAATCCTTCTCTTTCCCTGGTCCCTCCACTACTCACCCCTCCTAATCCACCTCGCAGCCGCCGCCTGTCGCACCGCCACCGTCCCCATAGTTCTACACATGGACCATGCCCAATCCGAAGATGAGATTCTTGCCGCTGCAGATATGGGACTCTTCGATAGTATAATGGTCGATATGTCGCATTATGACAAAGAAGAAAATCTAGCCAAAACAACGAAATTGACAAAGATGTTGCTAGAGAAAGGCATAGCAGCTGAGGCGGAATGTGGTAGGATTAATGGGGGCGAGGATGGTGTGAAGGATACGGGGGATTTAGAGGGGCTGTTGACGACTCCTGAAGAGGCGCTCGGGTTTGTAGAAACAGGAGTAGATTTCTTGGCGCCGGCTTTTGGAAATGTGCACGGGAATTATGGTGGAGTGGAAAATATTAAGCTGGATTTCGATAGGTATGTGCAGGATAGTTCTGTGAAATACGGTTTCGTTGGTATTGCCCTAGGCTAACATCGGTTCTCAGACTCGAGAGCATTAGAAAAGCGACAAATGGTCGAGTAAGGTTAGTTCTTCACGGCACGAATACATTCCCAGATGATACAATGAGAGACTGTATCAAGGGGGGGATGACAAGGTGCAATTTAAATGACTTGGTTTTGAATACGTATAATAAATATGTAGCGGAAAACACAGGGAAAGTTCCTTTGACGGAGCTCATGGAGAAGGGAACTAGTTTGATCCAGGAATTGATTGAACATCAAATGGATATAATTGGATCGACTGGAAAGGCATGATGTAGAAGTAGAGAACGGCCAATAGAAAACTCAGATACCTGGTAGGTTAAGTACTGAATGGATGTAGTAAATTGTTCTTTGTACAGCAAGTGCGCATGTTGACTTCTTCCTTCATCACGCAAGTGCGTGAGAAGTAAAAAGTCGAAATACCCACTAATATCCGAAGCTTAAATATTTTGCGATCTTATGCTGTCTTGTTGATAATGCTTTGAAGCTACAAGATCGTACTGCATCCAGATAATCAAGAAGCAGTCCGGGGTCATCACATCACACTGCATCACAATGAAATTTTGGCAATATAAAACGTGAAAAGCAGAATACAATTGACTATCAACCAACCTCCACGAAGCGATCAAGAAGAACGCATCTTAGAAGTCACAGAAGTAGAAACCAAATCGCCCTCCCGTATGAACATAATAACACCAAAAACCCATCCGCAATCCGTGCAATGCAATGCATTAAAAATCACAGCTTTTGTTGAATGAAA